TTTTTTTTTTTTGTTTTTTTTCTCAAGAATCTTCTGTACATTTAAATTTCTTATTTTTCTTAACATTAGATAACTACTGTTGTTGTTGCCTCTTGATATTTTAATATCCCTGCCTAGTATTAAAATAAAATTCGTCACTTACCGAAGTATTTTCTGTGTCATAAATTTCTCAAATGATCAAATACCTTGTTTATATTCGAAACATTATATCAATTTTTTTTTTTTTTTAACACCCAAGGTAACACACATTGTACAAGTGATGGAAAATAAATTAAAGAAAATTACGTAAAACAATTATTTGACTTTGACAAACTACTACAATATTTATTTTTAGTACTAGGTAAGAAAAGATAAGAAAAGCGTAGAAAATAAATTATATAAACCACACGTTTACAATGAACTAAAAAAATCTGAATTCTTCAATAATAGGTTATTTAAAAAAGTATCGAAGATAAAGTAAAGTATGATTATACTCGAATTTCACAGTCTTATTATATAAATTATAGTGCTTATATATTATTTTTTAATACATTTTTAGATGAGAATAATCGTTACATAAATTGTCTTTTTTTAAAATACAAAGTTATTTAAATTGTTCTCATTTACAAGCGTGACAAGTTACTAATCATTTTTCAAATTTAATGATTTTCAGTGATATTATTGATCAAACTAAAGTATAAATAGAAAAACTATATAGTTGACCTTTAAGAGCACTCTGTTTGGATCTAGTGCCAAAAGCAGCGAGACGAGACTTTAATTTGTAACACGCTGAATAAATTGCAAACATCAAATTTTCGAACAATTTTGCTGTATCATTTTTATACCACTCACTTTCGTGTGGTAATATTTACTTGAAATAAATTTATTTAGGTAGCCAATGCTCGCAAAAATATCTGCAGGTATTTCGCATTTTATTAGGGATTATTCATAATGGAGCATTGCTCTTTTCTCTCTCCAGGGATCACATTATGGCATTAAAGATAATAAAAAACGTAGAAAAGTACAGAGAAGCTGCCCGGTTGGAGATCAACGCTTTAGAGAAAATTGCAGGAAAGGATCCCGAGGGCAAAAAGTGAGTATTCAGAATATATACAAGATTCGCTCTGTCAACTAAAAGCCCAAAAAAACAAATTATCCTTTAGAGTGTTTGCGTTATAAATCAAATTGATAATGTATTTCGTTTTGTTTTTCCGCAGCTTATGCGTCAAGATGCTCGATTGGTTCAACTACCACGGACACATGTGCATCGCTTTTGAAATGCTTGGTCTCAGTGTTTTCGATTTTTTGGTTAATATCGACTTTGTAGGATTGCATAAACTTAACGGGTTACAATATTAATAAATTACTGTTTTCCTTTTCAGAGGGACAATAATTTTCAACCCTACCCAATCGAACATGTGAGACACATTGGATATCAGCTATGCTACGCCGTGAAATTCCTGCACGACAATAAGCTGACCCATACAGACTTGAAACCTGAAAATATACTATTCGTCGATTCTGAATACGATACTGTTTACAATAGCAAAAAAGTAAACACATAGCACTTTTTTGTGTCTTGTAGCTTAATTGTTAATTTTATAGAGAAACAATCTGTGGTGTTGACGAAAATTTTATTTTTGTAGCGAAAAGAAGTTAGAAAAGTTAAGAGAACAGACATCAGACTCATTGATTTTGGTAGCGCAACGTTTGACAACGAGCACCACAGTACTATCGTCAGCACAAGGCATTACAGAGCACCTGAAGTTATATTAGGTTCGTTTCATTGGAGACTTCACATTACGTCTCTTGTAACATAGTACTTAAAGAGAAGCAAGTATACTAAAAAAAAAAAAAAAATTGTTCTCTAGAACTCGGATGGGCACAGCCTTGTGACGTCTGGTCGATCGGATGCATTCTTTTTGAACTGTACCTGGGAATAACTCTATTCCAAACGCACGACAATCGCGAGCACCTTGTAATGATGGAGCGTATTCTCGGCACCATACCACACAGAATGGCTCGTAAAAGCAAAACCAAATACTTTTACCATGGCATACTCGACTGGGGCTCGGCTGGAAGATACGTTCGTGATAATTGCAAGCCTTTGCACGTGAGTATTTTAACGGCAGTGTCGAATATTTATCTTAAAAACATTGTCTCTTGATAAAAAAAAATTTCTGTGTTAATATTTTTGTAGAGATATCAACAGTCAGAGGACGAGGAGCACAAGCAGCTCTTCGACCTGATCCAGCGAATGTTAGAGTACGAGCCTTCAACCCGCATTACGTTAAAAGAAGCGCTATCACATCCTTTCTTCGACGCGCTGCCAGCACATCAGCGATTTGCCGATCCAAGGGCGGCTGGAGATTCTCAGCAGTCACATGAGCGCTCGCACTCGTTGTCGCGATGAAGCTAGATGAGGGACCGCACCACTGATAACATTATCATCAACGTGCCGTCAACTTTGACTCTGTGGCGTGACGACGTCACATTATTCTCGACTTTATTCACGATTAGATAAAAGATTCATCCGTACCTTGAGTCTATTTGTTGTTAAGAATAACGAGATGACTCATGTTGTGAAGTCTGTGACTACGTTTTTTCTTCTGCTTTGTGATACACTCAATCTACTCTCTTTATTCTGTGTATGAAGGAAAAAAATCTTTGTTATCGCTAATAAGTTTGCAGTATCGGTCCTGCTGATGAAAAAAAAAAAATCAAGAAAATCATCTCGTATTTATATTTAAGGACATCTTTTACGTTATTTTTGGCAAAGTCTCTACTTTTGGAGTACACATGCATATTTCGAGAAAATCTTCTGTTCATGTAAAATAAGATGACACTAAAAATTTTCTCGTATCATTTTAATTTTTTGCAAGGCAAATATATCATTAGGATTTTAATTGTGACAAAAGAAATTTTTCATACCATTGTAGACTCTCGTGATTTGAAATTTGTAAGAGTCAAGAGTTCGTGAAGGCAGCTTAAGTGCGCGTCCCTCGAAATACTGCGTTTTTTTTTTTTTTTTTGTTTTTTTTCTCAAGAATCTTCTGTACATTTAAATTTCTTATTTTTCTTAACATTAGGTATGCCTGGTATGAAATAACACAACATCGAAAAAAAGTGAAATCAATATTGAAAAGAAAAGAAAAATAAACCTGTACACATGTGTATTTGTGATTGATTGTTGTAAGGATTGAATGACCCAAGAATCGATGATTAGTATAAGTCTGTTTATGTTTCAGATAAGCTTAAATTAAGATACTTGCAGGGGTAGGATAAATTTAGCGAAATAATTGTTGCATTAATTGAACGTGGAGAACAAGTGAAAATATTTTACTTAAACCTTTTTCTCAACTTCATCTTGTTCTCTCTAGCCATGTGAAGATGAAGCCAGATGTGTAAATAAGTAAATTATGTTGAAAACTCTAAATCATCGACTTTTTCATAAACCTACTTTCTTTTAGGATTAACGTGCGTAAATTTTAAACTAATTACATTAAATTATCCATGAATTATAATTACTTTTTTTCACGTAGATTTTAAAACATTCAAAAGAAAAATTAACACGTTTAATAAAAAAAAGTTGTAAAACTTGGAGGTTTGAAATTTTTATAAACAAAACCAGGGCTTGAATATTATTCATCTTTATCTCAAAGTTGAATTGAAGAAACATCAAAAAATGTACACACATTTAAATTGTTATTTGTGAACAACATAAATTTATTCTTAAAATAATACTTTTCTTAATTGTGAAATGTACAATTACGTCGTACATACATATAAATTTTACAAATCATACATTATGAAGTTTACTACTCGAAATAAAAAGTTGAAATATTCCAGATAAATAATTTTTGTTTCAGTCAAAGAAAAAAAATTGAGAGTCAACTTAGTAATTTTTCGCAATTAATGCAATAAAACAGTAGGAATATATACAAGATTCGCTCTGTCAACTAAAAGCCCAAAAAAACAAATTATCCTTTAGAGTGTTTGCGTTATAAATCAAATTGATAATGTATTTCGTTTTGTTTTTCCGCAGCTTATGCGTCAAGATGCTCGATTGGTTCAACTACCACGGACACATGTGCATCGCTTTTGAAATGCTTGGTCTCAGTGTTTTCGATTTTNAAAATAAAAAAAAAATAAAAAAGTTTTACTGCTTCATGTAAGTAATTATACGTATGGCTATGTATTTCTAAAAAAATTGGACCCCTATTTTCAAGGCCCTTTTAATTTACGCTCCAATGAACTGGGGCAAGGCTTGATTTGTCATATGATTGATGTTTTTCTTTTTATAGTATACTTACAACAGCTTTAACAGTCTGAGAAATAAAAAAACGTATGCGAAAATTATTAATTTGTTTGTTTCAAGTGGGAAGAAGAGAGACTACATTTTCGGCCAGGGATATACGCTAGGTATTGACGGTGTATAACTTGTGTCGTACAGCTGAGCTTTGATGAAATCCTCGTAGTTGTCTGGCTCTGGATGAACTGTTGCAAGCGCTGAAATCGTAAAAAATAGAATACATTTAATATTTAAAATTCGATTTTAGTCTGGTTGTGTGAATACACTAAGCTAGTTTGATAAAGAAACTCCGTGCATGGTGAAAAGTGTTGTTGAATTGCAAACCATGATTAAGTTTTAGGAGCACAGATCAATATTAGAAAAAAGTATTTTTTTCGTGATTTCGATAACAAAAAAAAAAAAAAAAAAAAAAAAAAGGAAAAAAATTCGAGCCTCGAGATCATCTCAATTGTGAGCGATCATTGTGTTGGTTGTATTGAAAGAACTTACGGTTTTACCAATAATTTTGTAAAAATTGTAACAAACTGTACAATATAAGTATACTCCATATTTATTCTCAATATAAGAACAAAAGTGTTATCAATTTACCAAGAAATTTCCTAACAAAAAAATCCGCCGATGGACAGCGTGTACACACTCACCTCGCGTGTAGGCGTAGTCCATGAGTTTGACAGCGATTTTGATGGAGCACTTTTGAATGTCCTTGAGCGGTGGATACAGTGTACCTTTTTCCAGATCCTCTTCCGTCACGAGATCGGCTAAGGTGGTAGCGGCCTGGAGGAATGTCTCTTCGGGTATCGTTTTCATGCCTGCGCAGATGGCGCCGAGGGCTATACCAGGGAAGATGTAGCTATTGTTTCCCTGCCCCGGGTATAAAGTCTTGCCGCCGTACGTGACAGGCTCGAAAGGTGAGCCACTCGCGAAAATGGCGCGTCCCTTGATATTTCATTTCATTTTAAACTCTCATTTTGTTCATGTTATAGGCGCGACATTATTGGAGAAAAAAAAAAGTGTTTTCATTCCAAGTCACCTCGGTGGCAGTGTAAGCCTGCTCGGCGGTACACTCGGCCTTGCTGGTAGGGTTGCTGAGAGCGAAAATGACGGGTTTGGCGTTATTCTTGGCCATCTCCTCGAGGATGGATCTCGTGAAAGCCCCTCCAATTGCAGCTGCGCCTATGAGGACGTTTGGCTTGGCGATCTTGACGACCTCCTCCAAGGTGTCAACCGGGGCGTGGTCTCGGGCAAATTGAACCTTGTGCTCGGTGATGCCGCCGCTTGGCCGGTTCTTTACGATCAGTCCCTTCGAGTCGACCATCCAAATTTTTCTCTTGGCCTCCTCCTCCGTGGCCCCATCCTTCTGCATCGCCATGACGCAAAGCCAAGCGATACCCAGAGCTGCCTGCATCGCGTTTAAATCACAAATACACATATAATACACCGCAAACGATATTATAGCAAACGAAGCCGAGGATGTATATACAAGACCCACCTCTCCCGCACCCTGGAAGACGATCGTGTTGTCGGAAAGACGAGTCTTGGTGAGCCGGAGCGAAGCAAAGAGCCCGGCCACCGCTACCGAGGCAGTGCCCTGTATGTCGTCGTTGAACGTGCAATAATGGTCCCGGTACTTGTTGAGCAGCCTGAAGGCGTTGGCATTGCCAAAGTCCTCGAACTGTATGAGAGTGCTCTGGCCGTAGCGCTTGACCGCCGCCCTCATAAACTCCTCGACGAAGGCGTCGTACTGGGTGCCAGTGACGCGCTTGTGGCGATGGCCGATGTACAGGGGATCGTCCAAAAAGGCCTACCAGGAGCACGTGCCAATTAAATATGTATGGCACACGGTTGCAAAGATTTTCAAGTAAAGCGAGCTCACCTGGTTATTGGTACCGACGTCCAAGGTGATGGGCAGACACTGGTGGGGCTTGATACCAGCGAGCGCGGTATAGAGCGATAGCTTCCCGATGGGGATGCCCATGCCCTGGGCTCCAAGGTCCCCGAGGCCCAAGATGCGCTCGCCGTCGGTGACGACGATGGCTCGGACGTCGTGCTCGGGCCAGTTCTTCAGGACGTCGTAGACGTGACCGGCGTCGTGGATGCTGATAAAGAGGCCCCGGGGCCTACGGTAGATCAGGCCAAACTTTTGGCAGGCCAGACCCACGGTCGGCGTGTACACGAGGGGCATCATTTTTTCGACGTCCTCGCTCAGCAGCCGATAAAAGAGCTTTTCGTTGCGATCCTGCGATGCGACAGACAAAATTGTTCCCCTTGTTATTGTACAAGACGTTTAATTGCATCGCTCAGCCTCGTTTGCACGATCGGTTGGCAATCGGCGGCAAAATATACAAGTGTACACGAGCTAAGTACTGCTGAATGAAAAATAACCATTCGGCTATTTTTTTTTTCTCCCCATGGCAGGATCGTTCGATAAAATTGTATACTCAATACCAACCGATCGATCGGTAAATCGCGAAGGATCGACAAAAATAATAATGTGTAAAAGCATCAAGAAAAGAGAAGGAGGAGGAGGAGGGTAATTAAACTTACGAGCAAGCCCGTGAGGTAGATGTACTTGGACAGTTCGTCGGTGTATCTGTCGAGATTGAGTCTGCAGAGCTGGAGCTGTTCGTCCTGTGTCTTAACAGCCGCAGGCAAAAGTCCGTGGATGCCGAGGGTCTGTCGTTCCTCGATCGTGAAGGCCATGCCCTGCGGACACGCGAAACATACGTACGTTTTATTTTATCATTATTATTATTTTTTTTTTTTCCTCTCATTTTATTGATCAAATAGTCGCTCGATAAAGAATATGTCACGAAACTCGACGATTTTCCAAATGGAATCCTCACTGGGTATAACATTGGACTTTAATGCTAAAATATTTCACGAGCGAAAAGAGCTCTTGAACTTTCTTCGGAAGGCTACGAGTTGACCGAAAAAACTAAGGGAAAGAAGTTGAAGTATACTCGAATGAATAAAAGGGAAAAAATTGCAAGAAGTGGTTGCATGTACACTTGTATCGGTACAGCCAGCGTGATGAACAAAAAAAAAGTTGCGACCTCCGCAATTACGTGCATCGGAGCGTGAAAGCGTAGCTCGCAGGTGTACGTGCGATACCGATCAGATACGATTTTTTACGCACTATATATCTGTGCTCAAGCATGAATCAGCTGGTGTAAAGATAAACACCTATATCGTATAACGTGCGTGTGTGTACAGCGTAAAATATCCCTCGTGTCGCGCGATCAGCTGACCGAAGACGCGCGACCGATTGATATATTGTGTCCCGATAAGAGCTGACTACCGATTATTCTTCTACTCTTTTTTTTCCACCTTCCGTATAACAGGAGCACGCGCCACTCGATACTTAACTCTTTTTTTTTATGTAAGACTCGGCTTATCATTGAGCTAATTGAGCCCCGATGCCGATCGGCAATTATTCAGGTTTTACTTGTCCCAGTCGCAATTTTGTTTTATTTCATTCGACTCGGTGTGATTTGTAATACATATATATCGTTCGACAATTGCTGTCGATTTTAATTAAAAAAAATACTAATTAATTATTCCACGCAAGTTGCGAGTGCTGTGTAACTTTACGCGCGAGAGCCATTGACCCATGTAAACGGGTTGTTTGATCTGTTTTTTTTTTTTTTTTGTTTGTTTTTTTTCGTGCATTATCACATGTGTTTATGTTATTACACGCAAAGTTGATTTTATGCTCTTGTACCGATTACGGTGTATTACATGATATACGTAACGCACAAGATATATACGACCCGCGTATATGCCTAACACATAAATCACATTCAGACTGAGATGAGTGATTTTTAATTTCACTCCAGCCCTATCTCCCCTAACACGTCACCGCACTACCGATCTTTTGTTACTCGAGTTAAGTCTTACATTTGTAACGAAAATAATAGATACGAGTACGGTGCATTACAACAATCTACATCAGCTATTTTGACGCTAACGATCATGAGCTGTGTTAAATAGACAACAGCTGCCAAGGAGATACAAAACAACTCGATCCCATTGAAATTGCGGCGCTATCTATACATCAGCTCTTTTGTTCGTATAAAAGGCAATATTCGTCGTCGTCAACTATTGAGGTGTACCTACGATGGCCATTAGTTATTATACTTTTAGAGCAAGGCTCAATAGCCTCGGGCCTCGTGTCATTGCCGTCTCCTATATTTAGTTCACACACACACACGATCGCTTATATTTTTTCTCGGGACCACTTCAGTATACTCACCTATATATACGTGGCACTTTTTTTTCCCTTCCACTATTATTATTATTATTATTATCATTAGTATAATTACTGCAAGTCATCGTTCTGTCGATCGTTGATAAAAACAATGACACATCGCTGCTGCGTCTCGGCTATTTTCGTACAGCGAGAAAACACTTTAGTGATTAATAAAACTTGGCGTGTTGTATATACATAAAGCTCATTTGGAAGTGGAGCTGGGAAAAAAAAAAAGAAAAACCCTTTGCGTGTTGGGTACTATCGCACGTACAGGCATGTATAAGGAAAAGTTCAGCGGCAAGCTTCCTAAGGAACAAAGGCATAATATCCATAAAAACCCAAGTTCCGAACTGAAAATGCTACATGAGCTAGCTCGCGCTGTACATGCATGTATAGATAAAAAGGTGTATACACGCCCCGTTTCAGATACCCCGACAATGGTCCCTCTGACACGGCACACCGCTACACAGGCACTCGTGACATTGTTCGTACGGATGATGTCAAAGTACGTATATAATAATGACGGCAAAAGAAAAAAAAAAAAAAAAAAAAAAAATCTAGCCACATCAACCGTAGACCGTGGCTCGCGTTCGTCGACGAAAACGTGCGATCGAGGCAAAGTGCAAGCGACACGCGAGAACCCAAATGCAATTTTCGCGACGCCGATCCGAAGGCACGGTCCGTATTGAATAAACATCATACAAGTAGAAATCGATGTGTCTTTTCGGGGCTTTCGCGTCATCGCGCCTAGAATTTTCCGTATGGATCTCGTACGGTTTCAAAATTCATTGCCAAACATTACGACATAGTCACATTGGCCAACAGTCCTATTGAATCTATACTTCCGACCGGTTGGAGTTTCCATGGTCCTCGATGATCCCGAACGGAAGACAATAGCTTCATCCGATTTCGTTCAAGTCGCAATAAGGTGTCGTTGATCATCCCTTTATTTGACTCGTTGCATTTTATGTACGTACACGCCGATCTAAATATTTAAACGACAAACGATTTAAAAGCACCTAATTATAAATACGCGACTGCTCGCGATAAAGCGCAGACTGTCTGATGGTCTCGTGTTTACCTTGATAAAAGTGGAAAAAAAAAAACAAAAACAAAAGAACCGCCAGACACAGTTTGTGGGAAGTAATCGGTGACCTCGACGATCGGCATGAACTTTGTTTACGAGTGAAAACTTTTAGCGCTCCCAGTGGTTGGCTCTTTTTTTCCCCGTATGGTATATTATCAATAGTTATTATAGTTAAAATCGCACGCTCGACGATACTTACAGCGGTAAAACAAAATAAAATCCAATAACCCCTTGGCCAGACTCGTGAATCGTTTGTTATCGTCGATCTGTCTTGGCGGCGCTTACGTACATGCAAACCTTATACCGTACGCTCAAGGTATACCGTAATTTTTTTTTTTTTTTCTGCTCGTGCAACCATTATCTCCTCCCGATCTCTCCCCTCGAGTGTTGTACGTACGCGTATGTAGGTATATAGATACATGCTGTGCAAAAAAGCTCTTGATTATTTTGAAAAATCAATAAACACAAGTTTTAGGGCAATGTTGTGTGTGCGTGTGTGTTTTTTTTTTTTAATTTACAAATCGCACGAATGTGTTTAAAGATAAAAAAAAAAAAAAAAAAAAAAAAAAAAAAAAAAAAAAAAATACAATACGATACAATTGTCAATTTGATGCCGAAGGGAAAAATAAGCAATGAATGATTTACCCTCCCGTCGATCGACAGCAGAGATTCCGGTACACGGGGCAGGCGCTCCTCGTTGGGTATGAGTGTCCACCAGTCGTTGTCCATGGCGCCGGTATCGTGGGCATGACAGTCGCGAATAATACGACCTCGACTCGTTCGAAAGGTAATAAGCTTAACTATTTCTATATGCACGTGCAGCTGAACGACTGTACGGTGGAGAAGAAGAAGAAGATGAAGAAAAAGAAGAAAAAGGAAAAAAAACCAAGAGAAGAAAACTGAGGTCTATACAGGCACAATCGGTTGCCGGGGGTGACGACAGAGAGAGAGAGAGAGAGAGAGAGAGACGTCGTCGTCACGGCGCTCGGCGGCCGACTCGACCAGCTGAGGGTGTAACTTGAAGAACGAGCCCCGTGTGGACGCGGAAAGGGTGTACTGTGGGCGGAGTGCAGGCATCCCTTCCAGCTTTGGCCGGGCCCTCCGGAGCGCAGTATAGCAATCGATAGGCCGCCGGAAACCTTAAGGCCGATGCACTTTGCCTTACTTATATAAGTATACGTACACCGTATAACACGTACACCTCATACATGTATACTTAGTACTCCCCAACGTTATAATAATGTGCTCGGGCACCTTTTCTTCAACCATTGTAACTATATGTACTTATATACATGCCTGCTATGCACTGTAGTTACATGTTGCATCGGTTATATTATAACGTATAGGCAAGCATGACATTGTATATTGTATATGGAACGATGTGGAGGTGGTAAATTGGTTATAAATGTTTACGCGTGTATCCATACCGATGTGATCGTGCCGATTTCTACCTTCGATCGATACAAGGGATCGCCAACCTCGTTATACCCGTACTACATAATATGTTTTTGGAAGACGTGAAAATGAATGTGACCTATTCACTGTGGTGAAGGTGTGTGCCTATATATACAACTAGGATGGTTTACGATCGCGGGGCTGAATTCGCGAGCTAGTCTCGATTTATGTATTTGGCACATGCCGCATACGTGCATCATAAGTACGTATGTGTTGAACGAAGTACAAAAAAAATAGGACGGGCGGGGAAAGGAAAATTACAACCAATTTTAGGGATATAGCGTTGTTCTTATCGCGCAGCGCTTGCATTACGCGAAAGATCGGGTTATTGGTTTGCCGATTGGGGAATATTTTTGCGTACCTTTTTTTCCCCTCCAAGTTGCTACTGTGACGGTTGATTAGATAAAAGTGATTTTTTTTTCTTCTTTTATTTTTATAGATGCGATTTCACGACCGATTCAATCATGAAATCTTTAATACATACTTTCGATAATTAAACATTGTTGTTCCCGAACTAACTGATGAGAATCGTATTTTTTCAACTCCGATCAATTGGCTCATTTAAAAAAAAATAATATTTCCGTTCTGGCAATAAAATTTCATTGAAAAATAATCAAGTCTCGATCATGTTTTTTACTTGATTACGCTCTCAAAGCAATTGAAAAAAAAAAAAAAAAAAAGAAAGAAAGAAAAAACCGACATCCATCACAAAAATTACATAACGCGTCTGCGAGACAAAATGCAGCAAAGTGTTAATCATTTCAGTCACCGTGTATAGACATATACAAATGTATGTATTGTGCACATCGGTAAAGATTGTAATAAATAGAGCCGCGTAGCGCTTAGTGCCGAGTCACCCACCGCAATGGCAGTATATCGCCCCGCAAAAACCAGCGAAGGCTATCTCGTACATCTATATACATATATACATAAGTACAAACAAAATTATCACGAGATAATAAATATATCTACTTAGGAGTTGTAGTGATACTACGTACACCCACATACCTATGTATGTATTTATATATACGACGAACGAGTGGCCGACCTTGAAATCTAAAATCTCGAGGGGCTATACTGCCGTATGAGCTGCGATGCGTTGGATATACGTATTATACGCTGATATCGGACAATAAAAATTGATGCTAGTAAAGTTTTTAATTTCTTTTCTCATTAACTCATTTCGTTGATAAGGAAAATTGCACGTGGTGCACTAGTGTGTGCTTTGCAGTGTAACGTTTAAGAATTTTCAAGTGATTTTTCAACGATCTGTTCGCTTTTGTTTTCAGATCGACAAAAAATAGAAGAGAGTTAGATGTTTCAGTATTTGTCTCATTTTTTACCCATCACATCTCCAATACACACAATACGCAATAAATACGATTACTGCAAAGATACCAGTAAAGGGTACAAATGCTCTATATACGTGTAGTCTACTGGAAAAGTTAGCTGCGATTGCTCGCCGATTTTCGGTAAAAGCAATTGAAACTCGGCCTGAATAATTTGCGCCAGCAAACTCGTTCGAGAACACGGCAAAATGAATTTAACTTTGGTAATTAAAATCGTAGCTCAATACGACACTAACAACACAATCGATCGTTGCGAGCTGTAAGATGACGACACACAAAGAATCTCATTATCGCTATTTTTTGTTTTTTCTTTCTTTCTAATCTGTTGGTGGGGAAAAAAAAACATCGAGTCGCGATGAGGTTTAAAATAGAGATAACACGTACGATATTGTCCATTGATTTGATTTGATGATAAATGTATGGATAACGATGAGTGGACCCGTGTTTTTTTTCTTTTCATCCGAAATCGAGTAAAGTGGTGTGATGAAGAAAATTGAATATTAAATACTCGGTGCGGTGGGATACGAAAAATCGGTAAGAAATTCGAGCTGCCGATTCACTCGCTTGGGAATTGTATAACGGGAGTCGGTTATGCTGCCGGTTGAGAATTTTCATTTCAAACGATCAATGGCTCAAGAATGCACCCACGTAGCCCGCATTAGAGAACAGAGAGCAGCTGCAGTTGGACAGTCGCACCATCACGTGTTCGGGCTCTCCTTTTCTTTTCGTTTCGTCAACCCACTCCAGTGGGATTTTCGATTCCTCCTTTTTCTGCTCTCTCGGGGAAATTTCCATGGCCTTGGTATGCTAGCTACACACACACACACACACGTTACATACCTGCACCATCTCTAATGCAGACTCAAGCCTACGTATTATAGCTAAGTTTTCTTTTGGAAATCTCGTGTTTTTTTTTCTTCTTTTTAGCTCTGTGACGCCCAGTGTGTACGGCATACCGTATACATTACCTACTTGGTTTTTTTTTCTCAACATGCTTCAGTGATCGAGGTCATTTTTTATTAGACAAAATTCGCGTTGCACTTACAAATGTGTTACAAAGAGCATGAAATCGGTTCGGCGAAGTGGTTTGTTAATTTTAATAGCTCTCTTTTTTTTCCCCCTGACCCATCGTTTATTTTATGATGTAAGCAAAATAGTCGCGAGCGAAGAACCGACAAAGTGCATTACCACTCTGTTTTCAAAGTACATACATCATAAAATCAAATGCCTATAAGTGCTGTTAAAATTTCGTTTTGATTGCTCGACGAATAAATGGCATATACGTGGAGCATATTCATTAAAAATATAACCATAACAATGAAATTTTTATCAACGACTCCATAATACTTCAATATGGATAAAAATGTACTATCACGGAGTCGCTGAATAATGAAAAATGCAATAAACGTGAGGTATAGAGGTGGTAGAACTATAGAACCGCATCGATGACGCCGGTGCATTGTAATAGCGCGAGAATACTTAACGACTCGCTGTCTTACCTCATAACGCTCGTATGAAAAAAAAAAATCACTGAATCATCATCATCACAACTGTAACAAGTACAAAATATGCCCCAATTAATGTTAATTTATTTGTCGTGTACAATGTGAAAAGTTTCGCGTCAACAGTTGCAAATCGGCAACGCGCTACAGGAACTACTATTGCGAATAACCATCAGTATCGGAACACACTGTCTTTGCACGTGATGCAAAAAACCGGTAAGTACCGCTCCATACGATCGAGCTTACGAGGCTTTTGTTGTCAAAGCAAGTAAACACGCATTTTTTAGTGGTACATACTTTGCAAGCGCCTCCCTTCGATCGAGCGGTTCGTCATCGATTCTACCCTGCGTAGGTGTACGTATACAGTTGTATTTCAAGCGCAAGTCGCTCAAGTACAAGGCTATACGTACGAACTTATGAAACCAATCGATCCACTCAACCGACAGAAAAACAAATAAAGTGAGCCGGCAAAACTCGAACGGCTGCTTCAAAATGTCAAATCAATAACGAAGAAAAAAACAACTTGTGCTTTTTGGTTATAGTCACGAGATAATAGGGGACATTCAAATTACTAGGGCGGGAAATTTTCGACGAACGAGGAGTGTGTATATAATAATCGAATGTAAAGCTCGCGAGAGCGCCCTGACCTTGTTCAGCTGGGGATTCCTGACGTGGTCGAGGCCGCGAACGAGCCCGGGTGTCGTGGTATCGCCGGGGGCTCGCTGGCCCAATTGATCCCGCTCGAGGGTGCCGATGCAGTTTTTGCTGCTGTTCGTCATCCTGATGATGCCAATGCTCGTCTTCTGCTGCTGATCAAACGCGGTCGTCTGCTCGAACTGACACTTGCTGTCGACGTCGTTTTTCTTGTTGTTGTTGTTGTTGTGGTTCGTCTGCTGATGCAGCCTGCGAGAGTTTATATAAATTATAAAATATTATGACGCCTGACAACAACAATAACAATGATATTGAAAGCACACACGCGCGCGCAAACTCGTCTTTTTTTACGTGTAAGATCTATAAATGCGTATATGCACGAGTAGAGTATAATATATGCATATAGCGTGGCGGAAGGCTTTGACACTTTGGGTCGTATATATTGGTGTTCGGAAGAGAGAGGGGGGGGGGGTCGCGGAAAACAGCTGATCGGGGAAAAGTGGAGTTAAAGTCGTCCGTCCACGCGGAGGTGCGCATACGTAGTGGCGATCGAGGGGACGAGCCTCGAGGTTTTTAAAATGAGCTGGACGAGATATTGGGTGCGGGGCAGTGGTGTAGGTTGCGGGTATGTGTGCGAGGGAAAAAGAGGGACAACAATATGAATGTGTGTGTGTGTGAATTGCAGCTTGCACCTTTTATTACAGCAGCAGCAAACCTGCAGCAAAAGCTGTGGAGTATAGGTATAAAGGTATATTTTGTTGTTGTACGCAAGCGCGCAAGTCGCAAAGAACATACCTACATCTGCGTATATCTGTATTTATTGACGCGTGACACTACGATTTTCCAGTGTGGTGGGGGAAGGGGTCTTAAAAGGGAAGAAGAAGAAGAAAGGGGGTTTTTAACGTAAACATCATGCATATGGAAAACACTCTAGTGTAGGTATATTTTCGAAATTTCAAAGCGAAACGTTATGAAAAATGAAGAACAAACAAGAGAAAAACCTCCACCTAATGATTTTTTTACAGTGATACTAGTAGGTACTTATTTGAAATCAAAAAATAAGGACAGAAGTTTTAGGAAAGTATGACCACGTGTTTAGATTATTATGTTTCAAGAATACATTATACGGTTTACCAGAGGATGTTTGTTAATTTTTTTTTTTTTATCTTTGTCGACAATTTTTCCGTTTTGATTTGAGGCTGACCGCAATTATTATTTTCAACGAGAACGAGAGATAATTTTTAATTTTTCAACAATAAGTTTACTCTTGAAATCATTCAATAAGGTACAAATAGTACATCTGATGGATTTTGTTGTTTTCTTTAATTTGTGTTGAATATTATTATTTTTGATTAATGTAGCGTCTAGTGGAGATAGAGTTTAATAAATGCATCTGGATGAAACGCGGATTTCATATCGTATTTTTCCGTGTCCAATCGCATCCATTGTAAAACAAAAAATTTTATCATCATTGCACGGCGAAACTATGCATTAACGCGATAAAATTTTTTACGACGACTCTAATGCATGCTATTAAATATACATTGCTGCAGTAACATCTTTTCAATACGGACATCATTATTACGCAGTTTGTTTTTTCTCCAACAAAATTTCGATGATAAATGAATGAATGAGAAAAATACTCGTGGAAATAGTTCATAGCCACTACTTTTACATTGAAATTTTCATGTTCAACTCAACTAAACAAACAACTACGGTTCAATCACAGACATCCATGAATTAAAAAAAATGTATGAAGCGTTGTTTATCAAAGTGCAGCGTCTTTTATGAAGTATGTGCCATCATTGCATCATTTATTACGCGATGCACACCATACAAATACATATACATATCATAACCAAATCGGAGAAACAGGAGAGATGGTGATTTTTTAATTTTCATACTCTTGCGGACTTTTCGGATTCAATGAGGAAATTTTTTAAATCAATAATAACGATATTAGGGGGACAACGAACGAGAAGCAATAAACAATGTGGTAAGTATATACGTGTGTGGTACCTATGAGTGATGGGATCGATTTTCCAAACACCGTGGCTATTGGTCGATTTGGCGTTAGTCTCCTGATGTTTATCGTTAACTGTCAATTTGTCCGGCGCAACGGAAGTGGAAAAGCGGCCCCTGTCGGTTGTTCCTCCTTTGCAGAGCTCGCCGCCAATCAGCCTCGTCATCGCCGCGCGATTCGCGTAAAATCTCGGTGACATGCGGTCCAGCGACTTTTGTTTGTTTTTTTTTTATTTCTTTGAAAAATATATACACAGCGTGTATACCTAAGTATATTGTAGTACAGGGACTCGTTTCGATTTACTTCGCGCGCCAAGAGATGAAAAGAAGCCGATCGGATGCTGTGGAGAGCTAACGGAGAGAGACTCGATCGCGCGAGTCTGCGGGAAGGAACTGAATGGATTGGCGATTCGGCGCGCGCTGTTTCTGGTGCTCCACGAGAGAGGTAAGAAGTATATTGTTGTAGAAACAAGTACAAGAAAATAAGTAGAGGGAGGGAAAAACAGAGATGCACAGCTGCTGGTGCACGTGGTGTGCTGCGTGTTATCGGTACAACGCGAGAACACAATGATGACATAACAAGAGAGTGATTAATGCATCACTTGCGCGCATGCACATGATTTTTCAAGCATCCTGAATTGAAATTGATTACATTAGGTATGCGGGCTTGTACGAGACTCGAGGAAAATTAACGTTTGGATCAAGTGTTGAATAACTGAGTGATGTAGATGTTTCTTTTTTTTTTTTTTCATGTTTAAAACACGCAATCGTACGAATTGAAGGAAGAAGGAACAATCGTGATGTGGAAGTAAGTTGTTACTTGGCTCGGGAAAGAAAAACGCGGCGATACTTGACATTGAAATCGATAGTTAAGTGAAGCGCTATCTCAGAAACTTTCTTTTTGGAAATGTTTGTCCTCGAATTTATTTATTTTTTCCCCATCTCAAATATAGAATCTAGCCAACGATAACGTTAACGTCACGATGTTTGAATATAAAACCCGAATTTCTCAAGTGGCGCTCTTTCCCAAACGAGTTTGAAAAGGTACTTTCCTTTTCCGAGCTGTATGCATGAATAATCATGTAAAATCCTACATTCAACATATTGATCGATCGGGACGGTCTTTGGTAATTGTTAGCAATAATTAAATACTTCCATGATTTTTACACAAAGCTACTGTTTACGAATCCCTTACAAAATTTCTAAACCAAGAACAATTTTTTTGGAGTAGTTATGTGTACAGTAAGTTAATTAGTAAGTAAATACTTTTTTTGTGTAACCAGAGATAATAGAATTGAAACTATTCGAGGTAAGCATCCTTTCTCTCGGATTCATAATAATTTTTTTTTCCAGCACATACATAAATGCTTTGTAAAAAGTGAAAAAATCAATTGAACGTCAATGTTGTAAGGTATAACGAAAAACTTACTTTTCGACATCCTTGGAAAGCTGTGAGCCCATGCTTGCATCACTTGACCAACACCAACTTTACTGTATTACACTTTTATCCAACTAGCGAAGAAAAAACAATAGAAATTCCAGACTCTAAAGGTTTAAAGAAGAGGAAAATAAATTTTGCATACGAAGCGCGAATTTATCTCTAGGACAAAATGAAATTAAAGTTAAAAAAGTGAGAGAGGAAGAGACCCACGTGTCGCCGTGGCGTCAGCTGTTCGACTGGCGCAGCTCGCACTGATCTCTCCTGATTTCTCTAGAATCTATCGGAGAGATCTATACACTCCAGGATTTGATGTATTATCTGGACAGTTATCTTGAAGACATATATCAATATTATTCTGGATCAGAATTATTTTATTCGCTAAAAAAATGTATTTTAATAAAAAATGCTTTCGTGTAAGATCAGAATCGCAAATTTAACGCCATACCAATCCATTTCACCCCATTCCTATTAGTTTTTCTTGCTTCAATGCGATAAAACGCCTCTTTTCCGCCCTCTCTCTTCGATTTTCTAACATTTTCATTGACAGTGAATGTTTTGTTTTTCTGTTGACAAAGTAAACCATTGTACAGCTTGATATTACTTGTAGTTCATTATAAAGACAATTAATTTACATTATCAAGCTTATGTAGTTAATATTTTTTTTTTCTTACCTTATTGATACGTCTTATCGTATCTATACATGAAAATAATTTTCTAATGTAATTTTTTTTCGTTTCTTCATAAGTACTTCAACAAAATCACTTTTTACCAAAATTGCAGACAGAAGACTTAACAAACATTACGCAGTATCTTTGTTAATTGAAACTTGTATTTGTAGTAATTAGGAAAACAACCTTAGATAAAAACGTGTGTGTATATGTAGAAATAATATATGTCCATTCGAGTAAAAATAACCAAGAAATAAGCATTTGAGTAACCTTTTATAGTAAGATACTACTTTCGAAATTACTTGATTTTCATCAGGAACAATTGTTGATGAATCAATTGAAACTCCAATTTTTTCTATGCCAAAGTGGAATTCACTTGAGAGGTTCCAATTTAAATACAACTAGGTGTGCAACTTGGAAAACGACATGACCACTTACGTGGGAAAAAATTAAACCAAGTAAGTAGTAGTACTTATCAACATTTTGATCAAGACAAAACTTTTTGATGGTTTACTGTTTACAAAACAAATTCTGTATAAAATATTGCGCGGCAGAGAGGAAAGACAGAGAGGTAAGGCTAGATACTTCCGCAACCATTTTGACATTTTAAAAGCGGGAGAAAGGCAAAGGCGCCGTTGACCGTCGAGCGCTGATTTTCCGTGAATTTTCTCCTAAATTACCTAAGAATTAATAAACTTTCTGTGCATCCTATTGAAATCCTAACGAATGTTGAATCAAATTATGCTATGCGAGTGAATTTTATTCATTCAAATGAATTGTTTTGCACGAGTGTCATGTATTTTATGGGTTTAGGTTAGATACAGTCTTAGTGATACTTGATCAAATTAAATCGTGATTGTTGAAGTTTTTGTCATGCTTTTCTTGTGATTAGCTCAAAAATGGAAAACGAAACTAATCAGACAACTTACGATGACATTCGTCTTCATTTTGTGTTGCCCAAAGGATGTGACCATGAGGACGCCTGTGATGAGGAGATGTGGGATTTGTACAATGTTAGTTGTTATTATCTTTCCTTTCTATGCCAATTATTGCGTTATTTCATTGTGGATTTGACATTTCATGTTTCGATTGTTTCAGAGATGTCCAGAGTTGGGGATCGAACCTGATTGGATTCTTGAAAATGATTGTCTAAAGCTCAAGCCTGATAGAAAAGACGTCTTTGTTATGCAACTTTTTGAGGGTGAAATTTTTGAAAAGTTGCAAGAGACCAAATGCACGTAAGTACTTGTGGAACAAATAAGCAGCCAACTGTTACCCACTATCAAATTTCTTAAAATTTTTTTTTTCCATAAATGGTAAAATATATCAAAATGAATTTATACTATTTAGTTGTTGCATTTGAATATTTTTATTTTGTTAGAATTGTAGGACCACCTTGTTTGTGGTCGTGTTTTTTATCTGGGGAACCGATTCCCGATGGCTCTGCACCAGTATTTAATACTGCCATGAGAAATATTACTGTAAGCGCATCTGGATTCTCTGTTCCAGTAAAGGTAGATCCAATAAATTAATTTTTCCTTTCTATTAGGAAGATTAAGTAACTTATGAATGATTCAATGTTATGATTATGTAGAACGAAATCAGAAAGAAAGTAGAATACATGGGTGGAATATTTACAAAGCAGCTGAGAAGTAGTGTAACACACTTAGTCACAGACATAGTAATGTCTGCAAAATATGAGGTAAGTTCATTATCTTTTGGCTCATCCAACCTTGAATATGTAATGAATTTTTTATTTTTCGGTACAGCGTGCGGTAGAATTAGACATTAAAATTGTAACTTTAGATTGGGTTACATCTGTATGGGACACAAATTTAAAAGAAACCGTGCTTGCAACCGATCCGGTATTTGATAAGTTCAAGTGCCCTGTATTTTTGAACTTAATAGTTACATCCACAAATCTTAACAAGAGGCAAAAGGAAGATGTCAAAAAATTAGTTAACAGTAATGGCGGAGTAAGTTTATTAGCTATTAAGTATGGTAAAAAAAAAAATTTTGTTTTCCTTCAATCAAAATTTTAATTTATTTTTTTGCTTTTCACTTTAGGAATTTATGGGAATTTTAGATGGAACTAAAATTAAAATCGTCATTGCAGTGAAATCCAGTACTCCGAGTGAAAAATTAAAGTATGCTATGCAAAATAATATACCATGTCTTAATATAGATTGGATTTACGACAGTGTAAAAGCTGGTTACTCGTTGCCATTTAAAAAATATCTAATTGAATCTACTCAAGCATGTTCTACTCCAGAAAAAAATGCAGGTATAGATACAGTTTGACATAATTTTAGTTGAACATCAAATTTTTCTTTATAACATCAACTTATATTTAGCGCGGCTTCCCATGAATCTATCTTCCATAAGCATAATACCTGGTGATAATAATATGTGTGTGGATGAGACAATAGCTTCTATAACTACAATGAGCTCCACTGGACTGAGTGCAACTCTATCAGAAAATGCACCTACTGTATCAAAAGAAAATTACTCTGCTGTTGTTGACAAACTAAGTATTGCAGAAGCAAAAAAAGCTGGTCCTTTTCTAGATGGATGTAATGTAAGCTGAACAGTTGTAAAAATAACTAGAATTCTAAAGTAAAAGTTTATTAAAATATTTTTGTTGATTATTTTCAGATATACTTGACAGGTTTTTCATCAAATCATAGAGACAAAATCAACAAGATACTCAATGTCGGTAGTGCAACGCGACTGGATGAAATATCTGAAGCTTTGACGCACGTTATTGTTGGTGATCCTGTAAGAGCAACTGCTGATTTACGTCTCATTAAATCGAAAGGCCTCTAGTGAGTATGGTTTTTTTGTTAAATAACACTTTCTTTCCAAGTTGCATTAATTAATTTATTCTTGTTTCAGCCCCTTCATTTTGAAAGTTGAATGGTTGGAAGAATGTATTAAAGTTCAAGCACCTGCACTTGAAGATAATTTCTTTTTTGATAAAAAAAAACATGCCCAACAAGTACCTCTGGAACCTCAATCTCCACTTAGTAAAAAAGTTAGTTCTGATCACTCGATTATTTTTTTGATTTTTGAAAAGTCTTCATAAAATATTTATCAACCACCAACTTCTTCATTAGAATTTACAGTTGTTACAACGTCCTAAAGTACCAGCTGTTCCATTATTTGATGAAACAAACAAGCCAAACGAACAAGATGAACTTTCAGAAATCGTCCAGCAGTATGTGACTCTTGCAAATGATTCAATCTCTTCAAAAAATAAATCATTGTCAGAACGATGGAATGCTTTAACTAAGAAACCGATTGAAGCTTCTTTAAATGGAGACAATGCTGACAATGATAGTGCAATACCAGTTAGCCAAGAGTCTTATATCAGTCAAAAAATATTTCGAGGTATTTTTCTTACTGTTACAACCGTGTAAAAAATGTTTTACAAATTTTAAATTAAAAAATATTTCTTTTTGAAGGATTGATTTTTCTGATTAGTGGATTCGAGGATGAAGAGTATACTCAGGTTGTGGCGCAAATTCACGGTCTCGGGGGAAAAATTGTCTCACAAAATTATTCAGGTATTCCTGACTATGGCATCGTCCCCAAATTTGGCGCTGAGTTGAAACACACTGTGGGAGAAATCGTTACTGACTTATTCATCGTAATTGATTAAATTTTAATAATACTTTTTTATTGTTTGAAAAATAGATCCATATATTTACAATTGTATTTTTACGTGTTCTTTAGGAAGATTGTATAGATAATGAAAAATTGCTCGATGTTGCATATTATCATAGGCCTATACTGGTTTCAAAATCCGGGAAACCATTGGCTAAGTGCGTGATTGGTATGAGTGCATATTGCGGAGCTGAAAGAACATTTTTATCCAAATTATCAGAAGCTCTTGGAGCAAAGTAAGCACTCATAAACTTTAAAATTTTTAATAAACAGCTACAGTCCTAATTTAATTGATATTTTTTTATCTCACTGCGAATCTTTGTATCAGTTGTTGAGGCTGACATTTAGAAAAAATAGATTATTCTAAACAATTAAGGAATCATTTAAAAAAAAAAAGTTTTAGGCCAATTTATTGACAGCAGTTATCATTTTAGATATCAAGATACCTTTGCTCGTAAAACGAATCTCAGTAAAAATGTGTACAGCAGTACACATTTAGTCTGCCCAAATCCAAAAGGTGACAAGTACATTGCAGCTGTCAAATGGCGACTACCAGCGGTAACAGCCGACTGGTTACTGTGCTGTGCTGCTGAAATGAAACTTGTGGATGAAAATGATTATCTCGTTGGCGAAACAACTGGTAATTTTCCGTATTTATGTTATTTGAAAAATTTCGACGTATTAATTTTTGTTTTAATGTTCTGAAAAAGCTCCAGATAGAACGAACAATTCCATAAATACATGTAAAAACAGTGAAGTAGAGAATAGCGATTCAAAGCTAATGAAACCACCAGCTAAGCCCAGTTCGAGAAGTAATTTTATGGTAAATACCGTTCAATTACTTTTGATACCATTCTGGTCAGACTTTTTTTAAGCGCTACTTAAAAATAATATAATTCAGAATCAAGATCAGTTTGAGGGAGGAACAGGTGAAACGCCAATTATTCACAAAAGAGTCACAAGTCTGATAGGCAATAAATCACTGCAGTCACCTTTTCATGTCACCACTCCAGAAACTCCTTATGGACAACTATTCAAAGAGAATCCATCTCCACGAACGAGAAAAGCTTGGGCTAATTGGATTGATAAATTTCCGGATATGGTAGAAGAGCCTCCTTTGAAAAGAAGATGTAGCACAGTAATTTAATTGTTTTAAATTAAAATTGTTTACTCTATAAATGTTGATGTTACCTAAGAAAATTAATTACAGCCAATGTCTCAAGTAAAACGCCAAGCATGGGACTTTGTTACCGGACGATTAAATTCCCAGGAGGTAAAAAAAGATTTAAACTATANCATTGTGAGTACCTAGGTGAATAAACAATAATGCATAAAAAATAGGTAGGTACTTAACAATACTGCACTGGTTCTATGTAACGGCGTATGAAATTACATTAAAATATAATACCTGCTGTGAGAAGAATCTTATATTTTTCCATAAAAGATTGTACCTCTGGTATACGAGATTTTTTTTAAAAATTTAAAATTTTTGGTGTGATAAGCGTCCACGTCGTACGGAATAATGACGGGTATAGCTTAGCAAGATCAGCATCGATGACGCTATTTTGTTGCAATAAAGCTGTGTGGGCGTCGAAATCTAGTTGAAACTCAGAAAATTTTGTTTGTCATTGAAATATTTTTTACATTATAATTTATTTCTCGTTTTAAAGCAGGAACCAAATGAAAATGAAGATGCTCCAGAAAAGGAAAATAATATGCATAATGGAGAGTACGATGGTAAAGAATCAGAATCTAGTCAAATAACAACTAACAGAAGGCTATCGTTTTCGGAAGATAGTCCAAATAGGCCTCCAAAAAATCCCATCATCAATATGTAAGTATCGGAAAATAAGCTCTTTTCTTACTTATACGAAAATGCTTTTACAACTTTGTTTGCTGCAGGCAAATTGCACAACTGGAAAAAATGCTCGACAAGGCCTCAAGCACTCCTGAAGCATCAACGAGACAGTCATTGAGTGCCGAACACGCCAATCCTTATCACTTAGAATCAACGATCCAAGGAAGATGTAAGTCGAATAAAAGCAAATATATTTTGAGTGATGGTGAAGTGTAAAATTGTTTAATATGAATTTTATATTCAAACCGTAGGTGTGGTAAAAGATTCTCAGCCAGAATCTGTTGGTTGGGAAGATCCTATTAAAAGGATTCCTCCACAGAGGCAGGTGTGTATTCAACAAATGTACATAAACGAAAAAATATGTTAAATTATTTATTCTCACCATTCTGTATATGCATTATTTTTAGTCGATTATAAATGAAGAACCTATAGAATTAGAAGATGAAAATGAAAATGCTGAGGCATCGTTGATAGTTGAGGAAGAAAAACCGACACCTAAGTTTATGTTTTCAGGAATAAAAGTACTACATATTACTGTTGTTCATACAATAATTTTAAGGTTGAATATTGTTGATAACATAGTTTTTTAACAGGATCGAAGTGGCGCTGAAAAAGTCGTGTTAGAACTCGGTGGCGAAGTCTCCTCTGAATCGGCCTTTGATCCGACAGCAACGCACCTGATTTGCCTAAAACCATCCAGAAACGAAAAGATTCTCAGCAGCATCGCTGCCGGAAAGTGGGTTCTCCATTACTTGTACATTGAAGCGTGTAAAGAAGAAAAGACATTCGTAAATGCAAGTATTTTTAAAATGTTTTTACTGTAAAGTTTGTTTAACTTACTTTTGAGTGTTGAATAATTTTTTTTTTTTCAGGAAGAAGAATTTGAATTAGGAAATCCGAAAAGCGTTGACATTATATCCGGTAATCACAGCGAGAGTGAAAAAGTAATCATGAGAGCGGCTTACAGGTGGCGATTGAAACTATTGCATGAGCCCGGTGGAGCTTTCCGAGGTATGGTTGCTCTGCTGATATCGCCGAAAGACAAAAAAGATCAGTTTGAGAGGCTTATAAAGGCTGGTGGTGGGATCGTTGTTGAAGCAAAGTAAGAAAATGATCCTTAACAGTTTATTAGTGTTGAATAATTTTGTCATACTAAAATTATACTTACGATAAAATTGCAGACCACCTTACGATACTAGCCCAAACAGTCGAAAAATCACACACTGTTTCATACATATGAAACAAGTCGATCAGCAGATTGAATGGGCAATGATGGCCAGCAAGGGAATTTTGTGCTTCCCGCCGCAATATTTAAACGACCATTTGATGGAAGAAACCTCATTGAATCCTCGAGAGTGCGTTCTACCGGAATTTAAAAAGTACTTGACTCTCATGCCAAAGTAAAGGTGATCACGAATTTTTTTTTTTTTTTTTTTACGTGCCTTAACGATGTGAATAATAGATTTTTTAGCCTTTAGTCGCTTATAACTCACCCACAGCATTTATAATGGTTTTTTATAACTTGTTGTATTTTTGTATGTATGACACTATATGATCGACTGTTTTCCCCTGAGAGCTGTTTCTTTTTTAAAAAAGACGGAATCTATAATGTGTAACAAACTAAATTTTTTGGATGTATGAAAGTTGTTTATACGTGCCATGAACATAGCTTGCAAAGAAATATATATATACTTCATTATAATAATTACGATGTTTTTATTGATCTTTATCCATTGAGAACAAGAAACATGAAACTTTAAATACTATAATGATTGTAAAACTATATGGGATATTATTTTTAAATATTGGTATGTATAAAAATAATCAATCTAAGTGAATATCGACTTACTCTGGAAATAAAGATGAATGCCATTCAATGGTGACGTAAACATGGTTCGTTTATTCACCTCTTTTTTGTAATACGCGTCGAGAGAGATCTCGTACTCGCTTATAGTAATTAATTATAAGTCCAAGTAGAGCTTAAAGTAAGCTGTCGCGCATACCTAGAAAAAAAATGACACAGGTAACGTCATACCATGATTTATTTTTTTACTCATCCATACAACTGTAGCGTCTCAGCCCAGCCCGCTGACGACATGCCATCGTCGCAAGCAAACGCTGGTGCCGAGGGAGGACTTTGACTAGTTCAGTCAAGCTCTTTCTCTCTCGCGCTTGCTCTTAGGCGCTCGCCGATGCAGATTCAGGGTTCCTCTCTGAACGGTATGTTTTTTTTTTTTTTTTTTTTTTTAGGTACTCTAAGAAAACTACAAAGCTTCAGGCTCTTGATTTTTTTTAATTAGTATTTATTTAATGCAATAGTAGGTTCTTAAAGTAAGTACAGGAGCTTTGCATTATTGAGCTGAAAAATCCTCGAGCGACGTCGTTACTGCAAGAGATGCGACTAAACTATCACGGACATAATGCAGATACAGACGTGTTTTACGTAAAGTCTGAAGTGGATAAAACACAACATGTGGAGGTGATATTTATTAAATCATTCAATGCAATTCGGCTGGTAAACAAATACATCGTCGTCCGATCGAACGACACCGGAACGATACAAGCCGCAGTAGATGCCCATGATGGGTGCGTGATCGTCAAACTTAGCCTTCTCGGGATCTTTTATTTTTCGATATCTGCAACAAATTTGAACATTAATCATTGTTCAATTCTCGTTCTCTGTAGTTAGCACATCTTTACGGGTATACTCACGATCTCAACGTTTTCAGGGGTTCGTAGCTAGAATCGAGAGCAGCGGTATTAGGATCTATTCGAGTCATCGTACATCTGCCAGGAAAACAAACGATCGGGATGTATCAGTACTTATACTCTTGTAAAATGAAAAAAAAAAAAACAAAAAAAAAAAAAAGACGCAAACCTCGGACATGGCTTGAGTTGGCGGATGATCGCGTCGCTGCCTATTCTAATCCACTCCCACTCGTCTTCGGCGTAAGCCTCGCAGCCCGTCACTACCAAGTTCGGTCTCAGCTGGAGAGCTCCAATCGGATTGTCCAATCTCTCGTTGAGGTCGATTATCGATGCCTCGGACATGATCATGTAGCTCGACAAGTCTGAAAACAAACCCTGCACGGAGGCTGAGTTAAAAAAAAAAAAAAAAAAAATCATACAATTCTCTGCGGATGGTGCGTACTAACCGCGTCTTCGTTCCTCACTTTGCTGTACAGTCTCGTGTGCTCTTCCCAAACTCCGCCCACAATGTCCCTGTCCTTGTTCGCGAGGAATACCCCGAGTCTCAAGCCGTGGTCCGATCCGGTCAGATACCTGGAATTATTTTCACACCGTACTACCACGCCCACGCCGGGTGATCCAAGATTCCATAAAAACTCTCGTTTCCGTGAAAAAAAAAGCTTACTTGGATATCCAAGCGGCCACCTCGGCTCCGCAGTCCACGCACATTACCGGCTCGCCGAACCACATGGTAACAGTCGTGCAGACTTTGGACCGGTTGTCGGTGTTTTTCGGCACGTCGAACACACACGTCGGCACGTCGTTGGCTTCCAGCTTTGCTCTGTCCTCGTCTACCGGGCTCAGGTTGACCAGCAGGAGTTTCGGGTGCTGGCGACCCGTTTGGAACTTTCCTGTTTGCTCCTCGTACACTATGAACATTCTGTTCGTATGAAAAATAAAAATTATATGAATTAGCGTATGAAATTTTATTGTCGTTTTAATTTCGTTGTTCGGGAGTCGTGGACATGGGAGACGGGGTCGGCTGTGACAGATTATGATCATTTTACCTGTCTCTAACGGGAAATACCGCAGGTTCGTCTATTGTGATTCCACGTTCTTCGAATCGGCACATCTCGACTGATCTTCCTTTTCCAGATTTCAAGGGGTAGCAAAAGATTTCTTTCACCTTGCCAACTTGTTTCCACGACGCGTCCGGGCTTGATAAGATCTTTTCATTCTGTTTCTCGTCCTCTAAGAAACAACGAAACAAAACAAAAAAAATTGTTTGGAACCAACCCTTGGCTGTGCTAATTATATGCCTACCTTTCAACGTAATCTTTCTGTTTCGATACCACATGATGAAACTCAGAAGAGTCATCGATCCCGTGCCTATGAAAAACGTTTGCAATTCGTTCTGCAATATAACAATAAACACGCTTGGTTAACAATTATCTACCAACACGCCATAAAAAGGGAGAACTCACCATTTTCCACGAGTGCACAAAATAATCTGCCTCCAAATAAAGTCAAAAAACACTCGACACAAATTTGTCACCTCACGATTCAAATATACCCAAGCAGTTGCACGACCGCTTCCTCCTAACTGTACTAAGCACCATTCAGTTTACCAAAAGTATAGTGTTACGTATGTACGTCCAGTGCCGGAACATTTTTTTTTTCTCCTCTAATCTTTGCTCTTTTTCTGTATCTTTTTTCCCAAATCCGATAAACGTCCCCGATTCCCCTCAAATACACCACTTTATTTATCCGATACCTCTCCTCTCCTATATAATTACACCCAGATCCGATTATATTATCAAATCATTTTATCATACGCTAGCCACCGTAAACGCGCGTGCCGTTTTTTTTTTTTGTTTTTTTTTGTTTTTATCAAACTAATCGAAGTTGTTTATATCTAACTGCAGAAAATTGATAGTATATGTATAAATTTTATACGACCAACAAAGTAACAATTAATCTAAGTCTGGAAATATCATTTTTACCAACAATATACTTATCGCTACACTTTACACGTCATCGGCATTACTGCCACGTGCCATTTTATCCAGGATTCTTAATAGTAACGTGTAGGTACATTGGCTCTTCGCTCTCCCCGAGGCACGCGCTCCCTATGCAACCTGTTTGTCGGGAGCTAGACTCCTTTTTCCTCGAAGGAGCGTAGCACCTTCACCCTCCCAACTTGCCTACACTTTGCAATTTATGAAAAAAAAAAAAAAAGATTATAAAAATCGGCCAATGGAATGCATGCTAAAAAGCCCCTTTTTCATCCATACACTTTGAGCGGTACTTATCTATGACGCCTCGCGCGTGTACACGCGATACTTAAATAGATACGTGACGTATTGTTTATTTAGGTAAAGGTAAACAACACGTAACAGTTAAAATAAAATTTGTGACCAGTTTGATCAATGAACGCCCCGTAGCGGACCTGCACTGCCCGTACGACGTGTACAAATGGTCAATAATTTTTTTTTTTTTTTTGCACACATCAACGTACGCGCGTAATCTTGATTTATCGAAACGCTTTCTGATACTAGTCATTCGCGCAACACCGCGTGCACTTCTTGTCCCGTCCGACGCGCATTTGGCACTGAATACAAGTCCAAGTAATTCCGATACAACGTACGCCATACACCGTGTCGCTATCTTATTTTATCATATCGCTTCCACAAATGTTTGTACACGCTGTTCCTTGAAATCGCGTTATTAATTGCAAATGATGCGTACGTTATATTGTGTTGTTGCGTCCGATGTGGTTCACGTGCAACTTAATTTGCTTTGCATTCATTTGAAACGGAAAGGAAGATTAAAAAAAAAAAAATGAAATAAAAAGTTTCAATCAACGGTGGACAAGCAAACTGTAAACATAACTTGCGTGTTGATATGGGGATGAGCTCGAGTGTTTCTTGAATGGGCTAAGCCTATGCGGGTAGGAATAAATCATATCCGTTCGGAGTCACTCGGCTTCTTCTTCCTCTTTCATCGGTGCGAGTAATATTTTTAAACAGCACTATAGCTCGAGTGTTTTTTTTTTTTGTTTTTTCTTTCTTGTTGCATCGTGAGGGGCGATTATGCGTTTTTTTTTACCACTAAAAAAAAAAAAAACTAAAAGAAGAAAAATCTTTGTTTGCGTCGTAAAACTCGATATCGCTCAAAAGTAGTTTTCTTTTAATTTATCATAACAAGTGTCTGTTGCAGCTGTGCTATATCCTGCTGTTTATCTCTACAACGAGTGAAGGGTAAACAGTCAAATTGAAATAAACACTCTTATTTCTTGCAAGCGAAGAGTAAAAGGGAAAAAAAAAAAAAAAACAACCGTAGTATATTACAATCGTCGTCGGTGCTAATGGCACGTCATAAATCGCGTTCGGAGAAAAACTGTCTTGAATTCTCCATGTACCGTATAATACAGTAAGGCACAGTGTTTGGCGATGAATAGACAGACGGAAGGACATTCTTGTTCGCCAGCTTCGGAGACGGCGTCCCGGGGGTACTATATAGTATCTCCAGAGACGCCTTTTTGATAAGATATTCAAGATTGACGCTAGGGGAACACCCTATATATTACATATGTACGCTCTTGCGCCCATATACACACACAAGTGTAGGAGTGAAAGTCTCGGTATGGCAAAACTGTAAAAGGAAGCGACGAATTTAGTCGTCCGGCTACATCCGTGCATCAAGTATATATTATCACGTAGTCCACCGGCGAAATGCCGCATCGTCGATTCGCTGCAGTTGTAGTAGCGCTTTTGTTGTGCCTATTGGCGCATCAGTTGCTGGTCGATGTAGTTGCCGATCACAGCGATGGTTCGTCAATTATTATTATCATTATTGTTACAATGATTATCGTTTGGAAAAACGTGACATGGTAATTTTATTATTTGCCTGGTTGAAGGTTTCGAGGGTACTCTCGGCCACTTGGGCCCCAGGACTTCGGCCCAAGTGCAAACGATCGCGGCTCGAGATTTGGCGGTCAGAGTTTTGGGAGAGAAGAACGCGGACTTGTTCCAACTGCTCGTCGACCAGGGAATCAAGCCAGCGGGAAAAGACGCTTTCAGGGTCAGTATGTTGTTTACATTAATTTTTTTCTCTTCGAGTTGTGCTTGCAATATATGATGCGTTTGATTGTTATGCGTACAGTTGAAAAAGATCGGTGACAACAAAGTATTGGTAACCGGTAGCTCCGGTGTCGCGGCTGCCTGGGGCTTGCACTACTATTTGACGAGGTACTGCGATTGCCACGTTTCCTGGGAAGGCGCCCAACTGAGGCTGCCAAAAAGTTTGCCGGACGTCGACGAAATGGTCGCGTCGAACGATCGGTATAAATACGTACCCACCCATCCGTGTCAATTGCATGCATGGATTTTGCGTTGATTTTTGATTCTTTGATCTTTTGATGCGCTCAGATTTCGATACTATCAGAACGTGTGCACGGCCGGGTACAGTTCGACCTGGTGGCAGTGGCCGCAGTGGGAAAAAAACATCGACTGGATGGCCCTGAACGGCATCAACTTGGCACTGGCTTTCCACGCGCAGGAGGCCGTGTGGCAGAGGGTCTACCTCAAGATGAATCTCAGTAGGGCCGAGATCGATCAACACTTTGGCGGACCCGCGTTCCTGCCATGGTAGGGCACGTGTACACTATATGATCGAAAAGTCCATCCGATATATATATATATATATATATATACCGATTTCAATCGTTGCTACAGGGCTAGAATGGGCAACATACGCGGTTGGGGTGGTCCCCTTACGTCTTCTTGGCACGAATTCACGGTGAAGCTGCAGCACTCGATTTTAAAACGCATGAGAGAGCTCGGCATGATTCCCGTGCTTCCTGCCTTCGCTGGACACGTACCCAGGGATTTCATACGCGTCTTTCCGAACGCCAGCGTCAAGCTGGTCCAACCGTGGAATAACTTCGAGGACGCTTACTGCTGGTGAGTGCAGTTCCCTCCCTTCCCCCTCAAAGACCGATACGTCATGATTTTACCGATCTTACATTGTTACGCAGCCCGTATGCCTTGGAGCCGACCGATCCGCTTTTTCAGGTTGTAGGAGAGGAGTTTTTGAAAACGGTAAAGACTTATTATTGTTGTGATCTTTGTTCAATCCAAGAGAAAAGGTTTTTTTTCAAAAGCATCATTCGTGGTGTGTGAAAAACGTGTATTACTTTAGTACATCGGCGAATTCGGGACGGACAACATGTACAATTGTGATTCCTTCAATGAAAACAATCCTCACAGCGGCGACTCTGATTATTTGCGAAACACTGGAAAGGCAATTTTCTCGGCTATGAGCAGGGCCGATCCCGATGCTATTTGGTACGTATATAATCATAAGTCACCACCCCCCATTGATCGAACGATCGAGTTTGTTATAATATATGACCATACCGATTTCAGGTTGATGCAGGGCTGGCTGTTTGTGCACAGCGATCACTTTTGGTCCAACGAACGAGTCAAAGCTTTCGTCACGTCCGTTCCGATCGTAAAATTAACTACGTACTCTATATGCATGTACCTATTGGGACTTTGATTCTATAAAAATGAAAAATAAAATGTGACTTTTGGTTGTTTTTTTTTCTCTGACTCGCGCGCGCAGGGAAAAATGATAGTTCTCGATCTGCAGTCGGAGCAGTTTCCTCGGTACAAAAAGTTCGAGTCTTACTACGGCCAACCGTTCATCTGGTGCATGCTTCACAACTTTGGTGGTACTCTTGGAATGTTCGGGTCTTCAGGGATCATAAACGAGGTACATACGATATTACAGTTTTTTTATTTTTTAAACATCGGCAGTATTGCAATGTATGCATTGAAGTAAAATGATCAACTGTAAATTTTAGAGAGTATTCGAAGCTAGACTCATGAACGGCAGCACCATGATCGGTACGGGACTCACTCCAGAGGGAATCAATCAAAATTACGTAATTTACGAATTAATGAACGAAATGGCCTTAGCCAAACGGCCCGTCAAGCTCGATGATTGGTGAGCCCACGTGTGTATAATATTACGCGTGAAACACATTTTCCAATTTTTAAAAAAAAAATTTTTTTTTTTTTAGGTTTGCCAACTATGCGATCCGAAGATACGGAGTTGCCGATGATTCAACGAGAATCGCTTGGCAAGAGCTGGGCAGTACTGTCTACAATTACAATGACACTCGCAACATAAGAGGACATTACGTCATAACGAGGCGACCGAGTCTCAAAATAGAGCCATGGGTAATAAATAATTACAATAATCGTGTGTAGTGTGTTGATAAAACTATATAATCATTCGTCACGTGTAGACATGTATATAATGTTAATGGCTCTTTTTTTCGTCTCATTTGCTTCTTCACGTCACGTTTTTAGTATTGGTACGATTTGAAAGATTTCTTGAGGATTTGGCGCAACTTTGTAACGGTGAGCAACGAAACGGCCTCGAGCGAGTTGTTCAAACACGATATCGTTGATTTATCGAGACAAGCCCTGCAAATAACGGCCGATTTCATCTACGAGGACATCAGACAGGCATATAAATTGCAAAACGTCACATTATTGCAGTAAGACACACTTTTGTCTCGATGAACTGGTAAATTTTTTCGCATTTTCATGTAAAAATGTATTTCCTCAGATCTGCTTCGAAACAACTGCTGTCCCTTTACGAGGATCTCGAGGAGATCCTCGCCTCATCCCCGGACTTCCTTCTGGGCAGATGGTTGGAATCCGCCAAGTCCGTAGCTTCGAGTGATGTTGAGAGAGCCAACTTTGAATTCAATGCGCGCAATCAGATAACCCTCTGGGGTCCGAAAGGCGAAATAGTCGATTACGCGAACAAACAGTGGTCCGGAGTGGTGAAGGACTACTTTGGGCCCAGGTGGGCTCGTTATCTGGTAGAACTTTGTCGTTCGCTGATGAACCACGAAGCTTTGGACTCGACTCGCGTGAGACAAATTATTTTCAACGAGATAGAGCTGCCCTTCAGTTACGCGAATAAATCGTATCCTACTGAGCCCACAGGTCATTACACCTTTTTCATTCTTGATTTAACTTTTAGTATAGTTGGTTAATTTTCTCATTTTCCATTCATTGGGTAGGTGACAGTATTAAGATTGCAATGAGGATATATAACAAATGGAGCTCGTTGTGGAAGTGAAAACTCAACAATCGTCATCGCAGACAACGTTCCAAGCGTTTAATAAAACTGTATTGTGCAATAATAATAACACATATCGAACGCTTTATACACAGTACTATTTGGTATTGTACAAGGTATGCATTTGCACGCATAAATAAAACTTTGTGACAATTATTTTGATTCTAATTATTTCTCTGTGAATCGTACTTAAATTTTTTTACAAGAAAAAAAAAAAGGAAACCTTATGTTGTCAGCGCCATCTAGCGTTGTGATTTTCGGAACCTATTTATCTAGGGGAATTCGTCTTGAGAAAAAACCCTAGATTTTGGTGTTGCGATATAGCTATATATATCCACCTAGGGTCTTTCGACAGAAAAAAATAAAATTCACTATCAAAATACGCAGTGCCATCTAGCGTTGCGATTTTCGGAATTTATTTATCTAGGGGAATTCATCTTGAATAAAACCCTAGATTTTAGTGTAGCTATATATATATATATATATATATTCACCTACTTGTTTCTCGCGCGCTCTCATTGGATTCTCTGAAGGGGGTTGGTTGTAAATACTCATCTATTTACAGATTTTACGTTCGCAGAGTGCACGACAAGACTCCATCGAGGGAGTGCGTTGTCCAGGAGGTCGGTCGGGTATATTCTTATCAAAAAAAGACGCGGACGAAGCGCGTGCGTGCGTACGTTGTGTGTGTATAAAATAATAACACATATATATTTCATCATCGGATATGTTGTATACTAGGGGCTGGGAGCGCTGAGAGGATCATCAGTCAGTTTTCTTGCTTCTTCATCCAGAGGAGGAAATGTTGGGAGCACGAGGGTGCGTGGCGAGCTATGCGCTCTGCTTCCTCGTGATCCAGGTGAAGCTCTCGAACTCACGCACCTCGTGGCGCCTCAACGCCGACAAGGTCGTCAAGATAAGCGCCCCACAGGACACAGCATCCATGCAACCGATCCCGGAGGATGATCCGATATTGGATATACTCACGGGCAGCACGAGCCTCGACAATGGCCAGGGATGGAGTAGGTCGGCTGCCCCAAGTTCTACCACCGTGGACAAGTTGCAGGTCTACTGTAACGAGTGCAAGGGATACGTCAATTCTGGTGTACAGGACAGGTGAGTGACTGGGGTTGCTACTTTTAATTTCTGCCCATGGGATATGTTTGTTTGTTTGTTTTTTTACTGTTTGTTGTCGATTAGATACTTGTGTCTGGTGATTTTGTTGCTTTAGAGTGGTTAAGATATTTTTCTTTGTTGCCTCCATTAAAAAGCCATTTAGTGTTCCATTTTTTCATAACATTTTGAAACAACGACTCGATACTGATAAGACTAACATAATTTTTATTTAATAGTGGACTTTTGATTTCACTGTATTGTTACACATGTATTCAAAATTCTTGAAAAAAAAAGGAACTCTAGTTTTCATTTCTAATAAGTAATTTAAAAGAAGGATGAGATGATTAATATAATGTATGTGACTTAAAAGTATTAGTGATGAATTTTATTTTCGTTATGTACAATGCAGGCGTTTCAATTATTTATGAGTTAAAAGTTCATTCAAAACAAGCAAAAGTTATGTCTACTCTAAGGTGATAAAAGCAGCACTCAACTGTAATACAGACATAAAACAAAGCATGCACCATTTCTAATCTATGTATAAACTTTACAAAATTAGTTTGTGATAGCAATTAGTAGTATTGAACAAAGTACTTTGACAAGTTGACAAATTATGTTAGAATAATTTTTTGCTTGCAAACTTAAACATTATTTGATGCATTTAATAACTTTATGTATGTTTGATTTTTCAAAACATACATAGATTATCTTTGAAATTGCTACTGTTGTAATATTATGTAGTATGTTTATTTACTCGAATTTTTTTGTGGTGTTGGGGAAACAATTTATTTAAATCCTGAGTATTCATCTTAACAAAAAAAAATCACGCAATTAAAATGTATGTAATAACTTCATTTAAAATTTTTATACATATCACTTTTATACATACGTTCAGTCTTAAAAAAAAAAAAAAAAAAAAAAAGATTAACAAATACTCCGTTATAACTAAAAATATTTGTTTTCATGTCATTTTAATCACCACAAATACAACATTCTAAAAAATTTAATAATTATCTAATCATTATTTTTATTAGTGCAGCATCCAGTAGCTACATTAAAATTTAATCACCTCCATCAGCAGCAACAAGCAGCCTTATCCTGAAACTTAGCTAAAAGGCATCCTTCTCTAATGCTCTTTAAATCCATGGATCATATTACCTACTTCATCAATTAAAATTTGCATGTCCATGATCATTCCTCATATTATTATGTTGTCACACCATCCCTTCTCATGACCTTTATCCCCCCACCCACCTGCGATGTTACAACAACAAATACAGGTAGCGTAAAATCGTTCGTTTGTTTGTTTCTGTTTTTTTGCCCGTAGTTAGTGTGTTTTGTGTGGCCTGGCCTTGTCGTGTCCATGCATCAGCGAGATAGCTCAAGCACACACGCCTCCTAGTTCTCTTTCTATTTTTCTTAATCTCATTTGAACCAAAAAATACAAAACCTGTCAAAAGCCAGAAAGCAAAATTATTACCCCGCCTATACGCTCTCGCCGGCAGACGTTTCCCCGCGTACGGCTCGACGAACGTAACTGAGCAGAACTTCGGCCTGGGTGTTGCCGCCTCTAGCAACCAGCAGCACAGCCATCACCTGAGCTGTGGCCCGACCGCCCTTTCGTGCGACGATATTGTCCTCGACTGTGGCAAACCAGTGAACTTCACCTACTATGACAATCTGCTGGGCATTTCGAATCGCAATAAGCATCCGCTCGTGCCCGAGCCAGATGTAGCGTACATGTTTCTCAAGCCCGAGGAAAAGCTCGCCGACTTTGATATTGACCTTCTAGAGCGGCGGCTCAAGAAGGCCAAGAGAGAGGTGGGAATATCGACCATTATCACAGACTCGCGCAAATATGTATACAAAAAAACCTATTTGCTTATTGTTTTATACTTTGGATCGTAGAAGCCCAAGTCTGTGCAGATATACAATCAGATCGGCAATTTCTGGCGCATCAAAGGCAACGCGCTGAGATCTATCGAGTGCTTCCGACGGGCGCTCGCAGTTTCGCCGCACAATGCTGAGGTTTTGCTGAATCTCGCCCGTGTTCTCATGGTGCTCGAATACCTGGACGACGCTACTCACTTGGCGAGACGCTCGCTCGAACTCCAGCCGCCCGACCGTAGCGCCTGGGAACAGTACCTTACCCTCGGTCAAATATACAAGGCATGGCCATACGTATTGATATTATTTTTTTCTTTTAATACCAATGACGGTGTTAAGGTGTGAAAATTGTAACTTATTGTTTTTCTTCCACAGGCTTACGGGCATTTTCAAGAGTCAGCTGCCCATTTGCGCCAAGCGCTTGATCTAAAGCCAGGTCAGGAGGAGGTGGTAAAGGCTCTGAAAGAGGTCGAGACTCTTCCGATAGCGAGTATACACGTGTGGACGCTCGTCATCATTGTACTCTTGGTATGTATGTCTGTCATTGTAAAGAATTCGTAGAGGTCGAAATAACAATATAAACGATGTGCGTTGACAAAGGATGCGCACGTGCATACATATATATACGTATATTAAGTAAGGATTATTGTGCAGATACTTTTAGCGCTGTTGCTCGTGCTAAGCAGCATCGACGCAGACGATCCAGTATTGAGTTCGGAGCAGACCCAGAGGCCTGCCCAGCGTCATTTCAACCGCGCGATGGCGATGCGCAGCTTGCGGCTTAATGTATCGCGCAACGGAAAGCGCTGTTAAAAAACTTGAGTATGAGCTCGTGATTATGATAAGATAAAAAAATAAGCTCCCTTCTCCGCCCTTTGTGATATTACAATACCTAGAAAGACCGATCTGACGAGTTCTACTGTGTTTATTATTTTTATTTTTATTTCTTCGTATGAGACAAAAAAATAAAAAAAATAAAAAAGTTGTTTTCCTTTAAACGTAAAAAAAATCGGTGACACTGATGTCACTGACCCGTGTGATTTATGATATACGTGATAACAATGGAAAAAAAAGCAGTGTACAGTAGAGATTTTTATCGTGCGTCTTTCGTCTTTTTTTTCTTTTTTCTTCTATAGTACTTACCTTTGAACGCCAAAGATTTGAGGTCCTGTTGTTGTTGTCATCGTCGTCGTTGCTCAGCAATAATCTTTGTAGTTTTAACCTGAAGTAAAAGATGACAACAAGAAGCGACGAAATCGATGTGATACTGATAAAAAAAAAAAATAAAAAAAAAGAAGGAAAATAAATAAACATTTTGGAAGACCAATTGCTAAGCAATAAAAAATAATAATCTGTTGTTTTCATCATTGGTTGACAATATATTGATTAGCAATAATAATTTTAGAACTGCTTCTGAAAATTTACGAGTTTAAAACTCGAATTGTGACAGACGTGTTGATAAATTTTCAAGTAACTTGTGTAAATTTTGAAAGCTGATCAAGAACACATTTATAATACAGATTAATCATCTCAAGTTTTGTTGAACGAATAAATTAATGAATGGTTATTTTTGTCTTATCTTATCTGCCAATACCACCGACATAAATCTTTTTGCTTTGCTGTTGAGAAAAGGTTTTGATTACTGAAAATTATAGGAATGGATTTCAGAGCTATTTTATATTTGAAGAAAATATATTTATATATAGGAGCATCCGTAATGTCTGCATATTTTCGAACATTCTTAATCTATTATATCTTTATCTATTACTAATTACAACAGTGACGATTGGCGCAACGCGCTGATACATGTTATGTTACACTATAGATAAAGTGTGTGTGTCACTGCATTGAAACCAGCACGCAACGTTTTATCGTCTTCGTACATCGAAGACGAGTTTGAAATCCATACATTTTCCTTTATATTATTATTAACAAACTCATAACGCACACGCGTGAATATCTTTTATTTTTTTATTTTTTTATCTATGTAGGCCTAATGATTCTCTAGTATAATATACTTCATTTTCGTAGATCAACAATATTTACAAACTTGAAAGGTATACTTATCTAACATTGGTTGAGAAAATTCTTCTCCCCATCACGCAAGAGTTGAATTCACAAAACATACGAAACACAGTGAACGTCATACAAAAAGTTCATGCTAATACTGTAATTAAAAATCTAGTACATAAAAAGGAAAACAGGGATTTACGTCTAGCTCTTATTTACTGTAAATGCGACATTATAATTTGTCTTTTTTCTCCATCTCTTAACATTCATTTATCAACTAAACTAAAATATCGACAATCTTAAGGACCATGCATCCACACTTTTTCATTTTTCAGTATCCCACCGTAACGCGCTTCACACCCATATAAGAGCATATAATATATATGTGCTTAACATCGCTATTTTTCAAATATATATTTATATATAAATATATTTATGTATAAATTATACATACAGAAATCAAGAATCTATGCTGCAGCTAATTGTAATTTAAACATCTATTAAAATTGCACCCAACTGGCATTCGTCGCGGACGCGGGAGCTGCTGATGTATTCTGTTGTTGCTGCTGCTGCTGCTGCTGCTGCTGCTGTTGCTGTTGCGACGCACTTGCAAATTCGCCCCATTCGGAACCTGTTCCACTATGATTTTGTGGATTCTGTGTAGGCTTGTGCGCGGGTGACATTGTAGGTGTTTTTGCTGGTGGCGGGGCGATTTTTACCCCACCGGGAGGCGGCGGAAGTCCGATGCCTGTACTCGGTCGCTGCTTTGTCTTTGACGATACTTCGCTGCCATCTTTTTTCTGGAATTGATAGAATAAATTTAACATTGATGAATAACAAAAAAAAAGATGAAACAAATACAAAGATAAATGGAAAAGTGCTGTATAAACGTCATATTCCATAAAAATTATCGCTAAGCTTTTGCGTACTTACTATTGCTTTATCAAACATTTTGCTGATAAAACTATCGAATTTACTTATATTTATGTTGTGTATGATTCAACAATAATACTTTTATCTTTAATTTCGTAGAAATTACTAAATTGCAATGGATTTCGTTGAAAAACAAAATTTGATTCTCTGATTCCTCCAAAATTTCCAACAACGTCATAATAAAATAAAAGAAAAATTTCTGTGAAACATTTTATTTGGACTGCGTCGTAAGTTAGAGGAAAAAATAATTATTCATCGCGGTTATCTGAGCGACCCATGAAACTGATGGTGAAAGCAAATATACATCCTGTGTTATACATACATAAAAAAAAGCGTCTCCACTGTCGCTCCCATCCAAGTACAAAGAGTAAGTATATATCTTATCATGCATGGTATAAAGAAAAAAATGAGCAAACACATTGAAACTCACAGTAATTTTCATGTTGATTTTGATAGTCTCGCCCTCCTTGAACCTGAGATCTAATTCCTGCTTGGGCTGTTGCTTCTCCTTTTCAATTTGGTCCTTGTTCTTGAGCCACTTGAAATGATCCTGGAGTGCAACGTTTAGATCGAAGCTGTCGCTCCTGTCGAGAAAGCCAACACCAATGAAGGCAGACCTGCCATTGTCGTCCTGTATCCGAAGGACGAAGTAACGGGACGAGTCGGTGACCGGCTCGACGGCGATGCCAGGATACGTCTCGATCGGACACTTGGCGAACAGCTGACCACTCGCCTTATCCTCGAGCTTTATGCAAACCGCGTCACCCTGAGCCACCAGTCTCATCCTGCCAGTCCACGAGGGCTCCTGCAGATTCCAATCGGCGGCGCTGAAACATGTGTGCATCACCTAAGTGTCATATTATACAAGTTGACTTTGTCTAAATACTTGGATAAAATCAACAGAACAGAGAAAAGACAGGCTTGTCAAAATTTCGTCCAGATGGAAAAACGAAATTCTCGAGGTGGTGCAACGCATAAAGACGAGGAATAAACGTACTTACCGATAGCCCCTGTTGGTCGACCTTGGCGGTATTTTGAAGACGAAAACCTCGGACTTGACCAGCAGCACGCTCTCGTACGTTTCCGTAGTTGGCTCCATCCTTAATCTTCTGCTCGCTGTTATTTTTTCTTCTCTTCGTTTTGTGAATCACCCGCGCACACGCTGTACTTATACTACAGCAGCACTTAAATATTAAAATGTAACGCAATTTGCACGAACCATATGAAACGCGTAGGCAATAAGTATACTTAGTAATCCTTCTTCTTTTTGTGTACTCTCTCTCTCTCTCTCTCTCTCTTTCTCTGTACTTAGCTAAGTATTATATTATGGGAGAGCTGGCGCTCGCCCAACTACTGATATGACACGAGTACAAAAGATTATATACGGAAAACTAACGGCTGACACTCGACACGCGACACACACCGCTTGTATTATACACACCTACTATTATTGTAATTCTGACGTTTTGACAGAAGCGTATAGAAATCACCCCTGGGCTGCAACAGTGATGTCTTCCTCAACGGGATTGTACTTAAACTATACTGAAGAGAATTGAGAAGAGAAAGAGAGCGCGCACTGCCACTGCCTCGTTTTTTTACCCTTACCCACTTTTGTGCAGCTTTGCTCCAATGCTCCGTTTTTATACACGTACATACATAGATTTTACAATAACATGTAGGTACCTATCCGAAAGATTGGATTCTCTCTTTTATTCTCGACGCAGCCGTACCTACTCTTATCTCTCGCCACAACGCACAACGCTATCCGTATCCGCTGAGTTGATAAGGATTTTATATACATATATACATAAATATCTCTCTCTCTCTCTGTCACGCCTCCACACCTCCGCCTCTGGGTCACGTTAACCCTGGCTCTTTTTTACTCATGTATGTAAGTACATACTCTTGCGTACTTGCGCGATGTGTCATTTATTTAGATTACGTACACACAGGTGTACTGAAGTACATAGATTTCAATAATATTTATATTTTACATTTGTCATTATTACCTGAATATTTTTTCCTACTCGAGTACAAATAATATTCGTGGCTTTTATCGATTTACGTACTAGTTTTTTTTTTATGTTTTAATTTAATTTTTTTTTTTTTACGGTGTTGCCTAAAATAACAATGTTTTTGGTTTATTTGTGGCAATCTTTCCCAAAGACATATCATATCATGCTCAACATGAAATTAATCACCCAACACGTGCTTGTCATTTTTATATAATTTGTATATTCTAAATCATGTGTTTAATAATGACGAAAGGCGAATCTTCATCAGGTATCAGTGTCAGCTCCAAAATTCAAATATTTCGCTCTAAAACACTATAGTCTGCTTCATCAAAATGCAAGTGCGGCGCGACTGTCGATGCGAAGAGTTCGTGAATCGTGAATCGTGTCGTGGCAAGCATCTAGCGGACGATCGACGACGATCCGCCGACGTGGTGTGTTATCATTTTTTTTCTCTCCCCTCGAACGTCGACGTCTAAAAAATTAAGCCAACCCATCATCAGCAGAGGCTGTTTAAAGTGTTGTTTCGACCGGTGGTGTACTTGTGTGGTCGAGAACATTTTTTTAAGAAAAAAAACAAGACCATGAAAGTCACCTACGGAGTTATCGCCTGCCTCCTGGCGATTGTAGCCGGGGCAAGTGCCGGTGGTTCTACCCTCGTGCTCCTCGACAACTACGTTATCAAGGAGACCCACTCGATTTTTTTCAAAAATCTTGAAGGTTTTTTTATTCTTCTGTGTTGTTATTTTCCTCACAATAAGCAATTCTCTAACTTTGTATGGGTCGTTTTTTTTGTACTTGAAATGGTTATATTTCAAGCTCTCAACCACCTGACAGTTTAAAATTAACTAAGCTTATCGTACCTTTGATCATAAATAAGCCTATGTACATTATCGGTAATTTATATAATAATATTGCTTAATTTATTAACATTTTTTTTGTCTATTTCGACTAAAATATTGTTTCTGGTCAAATTGGAAAATCTGGAGTATTCCGCACCTTTGCTGATTAGTGGTGCTGTATGTTTTTTTTTTTTTTTTTTTTTTTTCCTTCAACGCATCGACTTTTACAAATGTTCGTATTTAGTAGTGATTCAGCATGCGTGGCTACATTTTTTATTGATATTATTGCTTATTGTTAAAATACCATGTCATCCGCGTAATGGCTTGTGTTTTACACCAAAAGCTTTCGAGTCATCGGGGCTCTCTCTCTCGTACTTATATCGTCAGGAGTCGATGGTAACTCATAACCCACACATGCGCGCGAGGGAGCCTCGACGTCCTCGACGAACGCAAAAACATGNATATTGTAAATAAAAATAATTGTATATTTGAAACATTTCAGATTCTGGCTACACGCTCACATTTAAATTGGCTGACGATTCTAATCTGCTACTGTCTAAATATGGGGATTTTCTTTACAAGCATCTTATCATCTTTGCCCCAACTGTAGAAGAGTTTGGTGGTTCTTTGAGTGTGGATGCTATCACTCAATTCATTGATGGTGGTGGCAATGTTCTTGTTGCTGCTTCATCCCAATCTGGAGATGCTCTCAGAGATTTGGCATCTGAGTGTGGATTTGAGATGGATGAAGAAGGTACTAGTGTCATTGATCACATGAACTACGATAGCTCTGACACTGGCTATCATACAATGATTGTTGCTGATCCTGAAAATTTAATTGATGCCCCGGTCATTGTTGGCAAGAAAAATATCGTACCTATGCTCTACAATGGAACTGGAATTATAGCCAATTCAGACAATCCATTGGTCTTGAAGTTGCTGACTGCATCAAGCTCTGCTTATTCTTACAAACCTGATCAACATGTCAAGGAATACCCACATGCTGTTGGCAGAAATACTCTACTTATTGCTGCTTTGCAAGCTAGAAACAATGCTAGAGTTGTGTTCTCTGGATCCCTGTATTTTTTCAGTGATGAAGCTTTTGAAAGTTCTGTTCAGAAAAATGGAGGTAAAGCTATTGGAAATAAATTTTTTTCACTTTTACCCTTATTGATCAAAAAGCATGTAAAAATACTTTATTAATTTTTTTTTTCTTCCTATACTAGATACCAAAAAATACGAAACCTCTGGAAACCAGGCTGTTACGGAGGCCATAACAAAATGGGTATTCAAAGAGAACGGAGTGGTCAGGGTGTCGTCAATTAATCACCATAAGGCTGGAGAAAAAGAGCCACCAGCTTCGTATACCATCATGGACGACGTGGTGTATACAATCACTGCTGAAAAACTTGATGGAGACAAGTGGATTCCATTTGTTACTGATGATCTCCAGCTCGAATTTGTGAGAATCGATCCATTCATCAGAAAGACGATGAAGCACGTTGGCAACGGACGGTACGAAGCTCGTTTCAAAATTCCAGACGTTTATGGAGTCTACCAGTTTAAAGTCGATTACACTCGCATTGGCCTCACCTACCTGTACAACACAACACAAGTCTCTGTCCGACCTCTAGAGCATACTCAGTATGAACGCTTCATTCCAAGCGCCTACCCGTATTACGTTAGTGCCTTTTCGATGATGGTTGGCGTTTTCTTGTTCTCTATTGTCTTTCTGCATTACAAAGACGATACAAAATCCAAAACTGAATAAACAGACAATTCAAGAAAATATCCAAGTACTCAAGTACAGAACTTTTTTTTTCGTAAGACAGTTGCACTGTGATTTTTCGTAAGCTAGTGTGAAAGTTAAATTTTTTTGTACAAGCGCATATGAAACGAGTGAATTGAAGAGCAATTGAAATAATATCATTTTTCACAAACAGTAAAATTTATTTTTTGTACATATACCAAAATAAACATTTGACCAACAGAATCACGTTTTATTTTGTCATCACACGCCCCTCAGCACAATTTTTTTTACATGGTTTTAAGCACATGCGAATTTTAAAACGCCGTGTGAATTAGTGCACCTTTTGGCGCTAACTGATTCATTACAGATGACAATCCATCATTCGTTTGGATCATTCAATAATCCCTCAGATGGGTACATACCTATCATGCAATGACATCCAGTTTCAGAAAAAAGTCAAGAAACAGTATTTTCTCATTTTCTGAGCGTATAAATCTGTTTGTTTCCCACTCTATCCCTTCTTTATCCTTTCATTTCCACATAACGAAGGAAAAAAAATGTAGATCAGCGCTATCTAGTGATATTTTTCTTCTCAACTTTTTTCAAAAAATCAGCTCTAAACCAAATTTTTTTATACCGTGGACCGTGGGTGTTTTCCGCAATCGTCACCAGCAAGTAATTTAAATTTGCGCTCTACGTTACCGTCAGGTCGGTAAGTCAACTACCTTGAATTAAACTGGCGCTCTGTTCCGTAATCTGGCCAGTAAAAACAGCAGACGACAGTCAACAGCGATGAAAAATCTTCACTTTTTTCTCGACTTTCACGTCGTCTGCTGTTTTAACTGGCCAGATTACGGAATATATATAGAGCGCTAATTTAATTCAAGGTAGTTGACTTACTGACCTGACGGTAATGTAGAGCGCAACCTTAAATTACTTGCTGGTGACGATTGCGGAAAACACCCCATCGATTTTATTAAACCATAAGTAGAATATCTATACTTTTGGAGGTCGATTTTCAGGTGAAAGATAAATTGTGCACTTGACACAAATATCATAGATAATGTCAACTTTTCATTTTATATCTATAAAATAAGTTGCGGCTGGTTTATAATTGATTGTATGGCTCTACTATAAGTAGTAATAATTATTTGAATCAGCGCCATCTAGCGGTTGAAACTTTTTTGGCCAAAAATTGCTTCTGAAATTCTGAAGGAGAGCTTCAGGCAGTGTAGCCCTAGAGCCATTTACTCAATTATAAACCAGCCGCAACTAACATGACACATGTGAAATAAAAGTTTACGTTGTACGCATTGTTGGCGGCAAGTTTACAATTTATCTTTTATCCGAAAATCGATCTGCTATATATTTACACTTTCGGGTAAAAGATAAATTGTAAACTTGCCGCAAACAGCACAAACATCGTTTATTATTCATTTTGTATCTACTTCAAAAGTTGCGGCTGGTTTATAAGTGATTAAATGGCTCTAGGGCTAAACTGCCTAAAGCTCTCTTTCAGAATTTCAGAAGCAATTTTTGGCCAAAAAAATCACGACCGCTAGATGGCGCTGATCCAAATGATTATTACTGCTGAACTACTTATAGTAGAGCTACTTGAATAATTATAAACCAGCCGCAACTAATTTTATAAATATAAAACAAAAAGTTAACGTTGTTTGCACTGTTGGCGGCAAGTTTTGCAATTTATCTTTTACCCGAAAGTATAAATATATAGAAAGTCGATATTCGGGTAAAAGATAATTTGTAAACTTGCCGCAATTAGCACAAATAATGTCAACTTTTCATTTTGTATATATAATATTGGTTGCGGCTGGTTTATAATGAAGTAAATGGCTCTCGGGCTAAACTGCCTAAAGCTCTTCTTCAGAATTTCAGAAGCAATTTTTGGCCAAAAAAGTTTCGACCGCTAGATGGCGCTGATCCAAATAATTATTACTACTCACAGTAGAGCCATTTTATCAATTATAAACCAGCCGCAACTAATTTTGTAAATACAAAATAAAAAGTTAACATTGTTTATGCTATTGGCGGCAAGTTTACAATGTATCTTTTACACGAAAATAGAAAAACAAAAGAGGTAGACATTCGGGTAAAAGATACATTGCAAACTTGCCGCAAACAACATAAACAATGTTAACTTTTTATTTTGTATTTACAAAATTAGTTGCGGCTGGTTTATAATTGATGAAATGGCTCTACTATAAGTAGAAATGATTATTTGGATCAGCGCCATCTAGCGGTTGAAATTTTTTTGGCCAAAAATTGCTTCTGAAATTCTGAAGGAGAGCTTTAGGCAGTTTAGCCCTAGAGCCATTTACGCAATTATAAACCAGCCGCAACTAATTTTATAGACATAAATTAAAAGTTGGCGTTGCCTGTACTATTGGCGGCAAGTTTGCAATTTATCTTTTATCTGAATATCCACCTACTATATATTTATACTTTTGGGTAAAAGATAAATGGTAAACTTGCCGCAAACAGTGCAGACAACGTAAACTTTTATTTTACAGGTATTGTATTAGTTGCGGCTGGTTTATAATTGAGTAAATGGCTCTAGGGCTACACTGCCTGAAGCTCTCCTTCAGAATTTCAGAAGCAATTTTTGGCCAAAAAAGTTTCGACCGCTAGATGGCGCTGATCCAAATAATTATTACTACTTATAGTAGAGCCATTTAATTAATTATAAACCAGACGCAACTAATATCATGAATATTACATAAAAAGTTAACATTGTCTGTGCTGTTTGCGGCAAGTTTACAATTTATCTCTTACCAAAAAATCGACCTCCTATATATATATATTTCGAACAAAATTTTGCGCTTTCGGGCACTCGGAGTGGTTCGTGTTTTTGTGCCCTCATATACTTACCTATACTTGTTCTTGTGCGCGCTTCTGCGTTTTTATGTAATATGACAGGTTATTTTCTGTTGTATTCTTGAATATTATTTACTGTTGGGAATTAAGACAACAGTTAAAAATGAGTAACAGCCAAGATGAAAAAACTAAAATTGAAATTCAAAAGTTACTAGTAGCTATAAACGACGACATGATTAAAATGTAAGTTTTAAACTTTACACTTCTTATTTTTGTTACGTTGTAAAAAAAAAAAAAAAAAAAAGTTTGTCTCAGAAAGGACGAGTTATCCGCAGTACAAGCCCTCGTAGAAGAAAACGCTTTGCTACCGACGTCCGCGAAATTGGCAAATGAAAAGTTGACTATAATTGCCAAGGAGGCTGGAATCGACCTGGGTAATTTGGAGAGTGTTTTGAATGAGTCTGCAGATGAAGAGGAAAGTCAATCAGAAAGTAGTGACCAAAAAAAGGCCAGCTGCAAATCCACGTCAGTTCAATCAAATGTTGCCATTATTGCTGCTGCCACGGATAAACTGGCAGTTAAACTAAAGCGTACGTTGAAAAAGTGATTAACATTACATATAATTTTGTAATAAAACATAACTTTTTAAGAATATATGTATATACATATTGTTATACTTTTATAATAAAATAATTTACTAACGAAATTATACATTACTTATTTATAACCATAAAAAACACCCTATTACAATTTTCAATTAATTTAATAGTACAGGTGACGTTAAAGCTTGGATTCTGTTAGCCAACTGAAGGCTTGTTCTTTGCGATCAGCTTGAGGATTAATCATTATGTTTATGAGACTGGGAGCATCTTTTATTTGTAAAGATTCCTTCAGAGCTATCCTGATTTGTTCGGTGCTTTTGCAGAAGTATCCCTTTTTTCCAAAAAGTTCCATCATTTTTTCATAGTGAGCATCAGGTGTCAGTGTATTTGGAGGTGTCCTAATAAGCATTATTATAATTATAAATACAAGATTCTAAGATAAATTGTACAATCATAAAAAAACTCATCGAATTTATATACACTCACAAGTCTGATGCCTCTCCACCAGATCTTATACCGGTGTAAGTTTCGCTGTCAAATCCGCCGTAAATTCCATTATTGTTGACAATGACAACGACTATTGGAAGCTTGTACCTGAACATTGTTTCCAACTCCATACCGGAAAACCCAAAAGCACTGTCTCCCTCTATGCAAATGACTTTCTTGTTGGGATGCTCGTCTTTGCAGTATAGAGCTGCCGCAATCGCAAACCCAAGACCAACTCCCATCGTTCCAAAAGTGCCAGCATCAAGTCTGTGCCTTGGCAAATTGTTCAATAGTATTGTTCTTCCAATGTCCATGGTGTTTGCTCCCTCCGAACAGATCATGCAGTCTACAAGCAAACATAAGGTTCATGCAATTAAGCAAAAGTATATCAATAACATCATTTTGTGTAAGCTCAAATAACTAAAGATTGACTTCCACTGTCAGGCAGAGAGTCCTGAATGGTTTTGAACACGGCGTAGTAGTTCAAAGGCTGGCTGATGTCTGTGCTCATTCTCTGCAAAAGACAATAAAAAAAATCATGCAACGAACCCTCAGAAAACCACCACCAATAGTGCGAGAAATACCCACGTCAACCGTCTCTCTGTTGCTGTTCCTTTTGTTGTCTAGTTCTCTCCACCAGGGACCATTTCTATCGTGCGAGTACCGCCGATTTTTCAGAGCTTCGGCCAAAAGCTCGGCCACTGGGCCAATGCTCGCTTGGATCGCAACACCAGCCGTCACAGAATTGTGCAACTCCTCGGCGCAGATATCGACCTACTCTCAAGCAAATACCGATCTCACGACAATTCAAAAATCTCATCGCACATCCAAGATATTGATGGCAAAAAAAGAAGAGTGAAAGATAAAAAAACAACCTGAATGAATTGCACATCCGATCGGTATCTCGGTGGCCGGCCAAAGTGCAGCATCCAGTTGAGCCTCGCGCCAAGCAGCAGTACGACGTCGCTCTGCAGCAGAGCCGCCGACCTGGCGCTGGACACGCAACGGGTATCGGTATCCGGCACTACACCTTTGCCCATCGGCGTCGGTAAGAACGGCAAGTTTGTAGACTCGACCAACCAGCGGACTTGGGCCTCGCTCCGAGCATAAGCCGCTCCTGCGACAGATATATTTATATACGTTCGGTATGGCCGATCTGTCCGATTTACTCGATAAATTTCGCGTGATGTTGAACAACAGACCTTTGCCAACGACGATCAGTGGCTTTTTGGCGCAGACGAGCAGATCAGCGGCCTCCTCGACCAGCCGGGTGTCCGGGAACACCAGAGGTGGCTCAGGGACAGGCCGGGCTCTGGCGACTCGATCGCTGTCGATGCTCTGTTTCAGCAGCGTGGCCGGGAGATCCAAGTAGGCCGCTCCTGTTGGTTTTGGCCACTGATTTTTTATCAATTCTCCATCGGTACCTACTTGTACACCTTATTTTTGTACCTGGTCGGCCGTAAGTGGCGAGTCGCACGGCTTTTTCCACGTGGAGTGGAATGAGACTGGCCGAGGCTGGCCGGGCGGCGTACTTGCAGTGCGGACGGCTCGCCTCGACTTGGTTCGATTCTTGGAAACCACCGATGCCCTCGTGATCCTGGGGACACGAGCCGCCGAGCACCAGGACCGGCCTGAAATTTTTTTTTTTTTTCTTTTTAATTTCATTAGCCGTTAAAATTGACTTGAACAAAAATGTCATGGTGTTGATCGTTAACGTCTTTGCAATGACAATCGTTATGTTTTATTATTGTTATTGCCACGCTTCGCGAAAATATAAGTGTATTTTGCACTACATGCATTCGTCATTAGTTATTGTATACGTCGACCATTGCATGTTCTGTAGTACAACCGACAACGTCCGTCTTTCAAAGCTATTGTTCTTTTTGGAGAAATAATAATTGCAAAAGGTTTCATTTCAGCTTAATCGACAATGACACACAAATGACATGATTTCGTACTATCTAATGATCATTGATATTACGTTTGAGCGCATAAGTATGAAGTTTTTTCTAGCTGCGTATTTGTTTTTTTCATCATCGATGAACCGTTTGTTAATCCAAATGGCAATTTTTTAAGTTAAAAATGTTATAAACAGATATAAGAGTACCCATCACACAGATTTACGTCACAAGTTGGGCAGGTAAATTAGATTAAGTACAGCTTCGTGATGGCTTTTATTACATCAACATCCTCTTGTGCGGAAACTTTGAATTACGTAATTTTAATAGACTTGCAGGCAACAAAGATATAAATTTATATCTGTACTAGTTTTTATAGTGCGTTATAAGTATACTTGGAGTTAAAGCTCCGCTGCTTACCAACAGTTCATTTGAGCGTTGGCCATACCCCCGATGACGTGCAAGAGCCCCGGCCCGGAAACGCACAGAACGGCCGCTGGTTTTCCTGTATCGTCATTTTTATTAATACTTGTTTTTTATCCTTATAAAAATTAATCCACCATTGTTTGATTCAATATGATATACTAATATATATATGTATCTCGAGAGCGCACTTGTGAGGAATCCGTGAGCTTGGGCCGCGTAACAGGCGGCCTGCTCGTTCCTGAAGCCGAGGTAGCGTAATCCTGCGGCCTGCAACGCCAGGGCCAGTTCGATCACTGGATGACCCACGATTCCAAAGACATACCGGACACCCTGTTGACATTTTTTTTTCCCCCTTTTATTACAGCATTTTAAATTAAAAAAAAAAAAAAAAAAGCTAATTAAATCCAGTTTACGGACAAACATTGTATTTTATACTTTTCAAGTTGTTTTCGTTATGGTCGGTCCAGAGTTATCTTCTTACAGTAAGTTTCCTACCAACTTTGGAGATTTCGCAATCTCAGGGCGTGAAAGAAACGCAAAGCTTTTGTTTTCTTGTCTACAACCGCGATAAAGAGGAATAATTGCTTACTTGTTCGTCGTACATATACCCTAGTGTAGTTTTTAAGAATTACATTTACTTGAACTGTTAAAATTTATTTATTTATTTTTTTTTTATTACCGATTTCTCACTGCTGCTGTGTTTGAATTATACCATTATCGAATAATGAGTTGGAGTGAAACCGAAACTGCGAACGAGCATGTCCCATTGATTGACATAGGCAATAAAGGTAATTAAGTTTCGCCGTCAATTTATTAAGAGTTAACGCAATTTTCTTGTAGGAATAAAATTAATTTGTAATAAATACACCGCTTTTTCTGAAAAGTATGTTTACATGTATCAATTTGTATTAAAATTTTCATACAGAATAATAAGCTTGGATTTTTATTTTTTATTTTTTTTAAACAAGGCGCCAATCAGGTGGCGTTACTGTCTCTCTTTCTCTCTCTTGCTTGGAAGGAAACAGCGTTTTTCCCCGAATAATTTTTTTTGTTCAATTATTCTAATAAATTTTTATCATCGATATAACGATCGATATGATAATCACCAATTTGAAACCAAATTTTCTCAATTAAAAACAAAAATTATTTTAATTAACCAAATAAATACTATAACCTACAATATAATGTCACGTATACTTTTCCGTTTAGTAGTGATCAATATGATATAAAAACGCTCAGCCATACCTGATCTCTGAGAGCTTCCGCCAAAATTTGATCCCCATTCGTCTCTGCCATAGTATGCGTACAGTTTGTACTTCCAAAAATACAACACAATCAGTGTAACATATACGTGTCTACTTTGTACATCCACTCGCAAACGCTATAATCATACTATTCACTATTTGCGCTATCTACACACATATATCTTGCGTATATGTCACTATTAAAATTTTAGCGCCTACTAGGGATGCTTGAGCACGCATTTGATGAACAAAATGTGTTGTTCCGATTTCGCGAGCTGTTGGTGACGATAAATTTTGGATGAAGATGTGCGGGAGAGTTATACTCGTTTGCTTTTTACCTTTGCAATTTTGCCGCGTCATCTCGCATATCATACCGATTATATAAATATTTATTTATTTCACGCCTGCGCTCAATTTTTATGACTACGATTATGTTCCTTCCATTTTTTTTTCGTATCGGTACATAATTACGTATATTGTATATGAGCATTGGCTCGCTGAACGGACTTTAATCGATTTTACTTTCTTACCCAGAATTTGAATCAACTGACGAATGCACTTATAGTTTTCAAAATGATCAACGCCTTGCGAAAGCTTATACCGATTTTTCATGAGAGAAAGTGCCGATTTCTCAATCGTTTGTATGCAAAACCGATCCTGTGCACTTTTCTTGCCAAGTAATCCCAAAACAGTGGCACTTTGTATGTACAGGTGTATGGTGGAAAAAAAACAATGTTTTTTCTTTTTTTTCAACAATATATTTTTGTGATTACAAAAGTGGTGATGAGCTACTAATTATAGATAAGCGATTGTCGAGGAAGTCGAGATGATACCCAAATGCTTATTAACTATACCAACAACGCTACCTGGCTATATATTTTTTAAAACGTATACCTTCAGGTGCACACACTAGGTTTATTGTCATCGCGTGATACTACACTATTGTACAGCTTTTTGATTTTCGTTTTGATTTGCTTGCAGTAAGAAAAAAAAAAAAAAAAAATTTTCACAAAAAAAACATCAACAAGTGAAACTTTAATTACATAAAATATAGAAGGTAATTGTAAATTATTTTCAAGGATTCATCTTTGCTCTTATCGCCATAAAAGACACGCACGAAAATTTCGTCCGGAAAAATTACTTTCGACGGTGGTATATACACGGAAAACTCACGCTCGGCACATTTTCGTCCGTGCTCGTGATGAGTTTGAAAATTACAGACCACACGCACGCGCCCGAACACCTAATTTTTCTTTTTTCTTTTTTTTTTTTTTTTTCTCCTGTCCGACAGTATAAGTTGTTTTTTTTTTGCCTATGACTTGTGGCGATATCGCGTGTAGGAAACATCATTAGATACCTGCCGGCTGAAGTTCAGATGTTTTGTAAAAAGTAAAATTGACGATGTGTTCCAGTGTCCATCCGCTCGCATTTTCCGCTCTACAGTTTCTTTATACACAGCCTTGGCGGCACGCGCTTTCGGAAATCGGATACTCAAGGATTTCGATAGCTCACGGGCGAGCTTCGGAGATGACTTTAGCATCGAACGACTTGTCTATTTTTCTTCCATTTTCTTTTAATTAAATGACGTTAAATGTTCTCACAGCCTCGATCCACCAAAAGTGAAATAAAAAAAAAAAAAAAAAAAAAAAAATTGGCTCGCACGGCAGGTGGAAAACACTAACATCTTCTACGATAGCTGTGATAAAAACCACGCAACAATGTTTTTTAATAGTTTCAACGATAAAACTCGGTAAATCCTGTTATAAATCCCTGTAATAGCAGTAATAAAAAAGTATAATCGTGCAGTGTTACTATAATGAAAAACATCGCAGTACAAAAGTGTTCAGTGTACGTCTTGTAATGCCGTTGTTTTGAAATTTTTGAAAAACAGAGATTGCCACACCATTATTGCTTTCGTTGTATCTATACATGTGGAGGAAGAAGCCGCGGTCGATTGTTGCTGCTGATGCCTCGCTCATTTTTCCGCGGACTCTTCTGTACATCGGTATACCGTACCCACACGTATTGTAGCGCGCGACCGGAGCGAGTTGGAGTCGAAGAAATAATATACAGAAATAATACACTCTCGTCGTCGTTTTGGTTGTTGTATCGGTACATTGTTTTCCAACTGGTTCACTTGCATAAAACGCATCGATCTGTTTTTTTTTTTTTTTTTTTTTTTTTTTTTTTTTTTTTTTTTTTTTTTTAACAATTACACTTAAGTGAGTGTTTTCTCTCTCGTGTTTTGTTTCAACTTTACGCTCGTGATTGTTGCACCAATTGTCTCTAATACTTTCCATTTTACCGGTTATCGTGTAATTATTGATTCTTAATCATGTTGGGAAAAAAGTGCCATGGTGGGATACTTTTCAGCCGTAAGTTCCATGTTACTTCTTTATTTATTGCGTTTTTACCACAACAGCTTTGGCTCAACTGACGATTTTTTCGAAAATCGTTAGTTGTAACGTAATTTTTCTAAAACAAATTCCTGTAAATTGTTTACACGTACAGTATTGGAGTAAAAAAAGGAAAATGTAATTTTTAATGGGCTGGATTCTCCCAATAAAATGCAGTCGTAACTTTAGCTAATACATTATCGGTATACGTGCCGATTTTCGCATAAACACTCTTAATGTTACGTGAGAGAAAATTTCAACATTTTTTTCTTTCAACTTCGTTCGTGCTGATAACTATAATATTTCCAACAATGTCTATTGGTAATTATTTAGATAAAACTCGCAATCGTTTGTTTATTTTTTTTTCTTTTTGTTTTTAACAAAGGAAAAAGGTTGTCATGGCAATACAAATTCGTGCTATCGTTAGTTTTTTTTAATTCAGCATATAGCAGTAAAGTATGCTATTTTTCTCCATCATTTTTATTCAATTTTTGTCACGTTGAATTAAATAAAAATTAAATTGAACCGAAATGAATTGGAAACGTAAGTATTTCATCGGTGATAAAAAATTTATTGAAAAAATCGGCTGATGATCGGGTAACCTGTAAATTTTCAACTTTCGACCACAGGAAAAAAAAAAAATATACACCACTTAAATTCAATAAACCTCAACGCAACTCGATGTAAAATATTTGGATATGTTGTTGAGTGCTTCATTAAACTTAAAAACTGTTTCGTATTTCACAACTGCTTTCGACGCCGTTAGCCAAGAACGCATTGAAAAAAAAAACCATTTTCTTACGTCACTTATCCTTATTTAACAATGAATTAAAAAAAAAAAAAAAAAAGGTGCACGCCACCCGTCTCCCCAAAAATCTCTTCCGTTTTGCGTCGACACACGATCAACCCCGTCATCGTTTTCAACCCCCAGGATACTTGCCAACGCGCGCGGTAATCGCCATAATGATGTTCATGGCTTGCTGGATGTCGTACGTGTGCCGGCTACAGATGGCGATCCTCGTGGTACCGATGATAGCCGGCGGGGACAACAAAAACCTGTCCGGCGCTTGCATCAATCCCGAGGACCAGGGCTCGCGGGTCTCGCGGTCGCTTCTCAGCGGCCAGGACGAATTTTTGTACAGAATAGCGAGCGACGAGGTAAGCACGAGGCTGAGACGTCAGGACGACGCCAGTAAGCCGATCGAGAGTCGGGAGTTCCTGGACCTGTGGAGCAATAGACCCTTCGACTGGACGTCTCAGACTCGAGGTTTCTATCTTTCCTTCTCCCTTTCTATCGCCAATCAGTTATGTGCACCGTTTTACTTGTTCTCGTACCAGGGGAACTGTTGGCGGGGTACGGTATCGGCAATGTGCCGGGAAACCTGATCGGCGGTGTAATGGCCATGAAGTTTGGCCCACGGCAAACGATTTTGTGGACGTCGCTGATATCCGCCCTGCTGTCGTTGATCAGTCCAATCCTCGCGAACATGCACTGGGCCGTACTGCTAGTCTCCCGCATGCTCGTGGGCCTCATGGCAATTAATTTTTTGTTTTTTTTCAAGATTACAATTAAGTTATTTTAAATAGCAGAAAAAAAACATTGTTTAAATGAAATATTAATTTTGGAGATTAGGGAGGCGCGATTTTCCCAGCCTGTCACGCCATGGTTTGTCTTTGCCTTAAGTATTTTCTTTTCAAGACTCTTTTCTTTGTCTCTACGAATATTTTTTTTTTTTGTTCTTTCTCTAAACCATCAATTAGGTGGCCAAGTGGGCACCACCAGCCGAAAAGACCCGGTTCGTCTGGTCCCTCCAGGGTGGCGCTCTCGGTACCATTATAACTTATCCGATAATCTCTGCCCTCGCCGCTAACGTATGCTGGGAGTCGGGCTGGTACATACCTGCGATTATGATGCTCTTCTGGGTGGTCATCTGGTTCTTCACAGCTTACGACTCGCCTGCCGATCATCCGACGATCAGTGAGGAGGAGAAGAATTACATTTTAACGTGAGTACGGAGAAACATGTTGCCACCGTGATGTGGTGCTTATGGTGTGCTTGTCCGTTTGCAATATCAGAGCTCAAGGCAACAGCTTGCGGGTCGACAAGCCGACGCTGAAGCAAACGCCGATCTTGGCGATCATCACCTCAATACCGTTTATCTGCCTGGTCTTACTCCACTTTGGCAACCTCTACTTAATCTTCTTCTATCAATTCACGTCGATGCTGTACTTTACGCGCGCTCTGGGCTTTAAGCTTACCAAGGGTGGCATGTTGGCTTCGCTTCCTTGGCTAGCGCGCATACTATTTGGTCTCTTGTTCAGCTGGTTAGGTGACTTCGTCAAGAGACGCCCAAACATCATCTCCCCGACCAACTTCCGCAAATTAGCGACTATATTCTGTAAGAGAAAGCGAGACGACTGTTTTTATTACTATCACGTACACTCGAACAATAACAAGTCAATCGTTAACTCACACGTTGGTCTTAGCTCATCTCCTGCCTGGACTCTGTCTCGTGGTTGTCGGCTACGTTGGATGCTCGTTCGTTGCAGCCAATATCTTTTTCTTCTTTTGTCTGGGCTTCAACGGTGCAGCCGTCATCTCCAATCTGTCCAACAACCAAGACCTGTCGCCCAACTATGCTGGATTTCTCTATGGAATCATGAACACCATTGGCACAATACCCGGCATTTTTATTCCACCGATGGTTGAGGAAATCACGGGAAAACAAGGAGTCAGTGTTTTTTTAATTCTTTGATTTCTTTTTCTTTGGCTGAGTTTGTACTTATTTTTTTCTTTTCTTCAGAACACGATTGAGAGTTGGCAAACCGTGTTTTGGATAGGTGCTGGCATTTGCATATTCAGCTCGGTGATTTACATGGTGGGCGGAAGCGCCAAGGTACAGTCGTGGAACGACCCGCGTCAAGAAGAAACGAGAGCGTAGCAAGCAGGTTTTCATTTATACATCGTCGTACTTGTTTACATTTTTGTAAATCTCGCAGAATCTCGAATTATTTCTTTCAATAAAAAAAAGGTTCATTACAAAGCATACTCTCGTATGTATACAAAATAAGTGAGTCAAGACGAAAATCTTTGTGAGTTTCTACATGTTTATTCATTTCGTTTTTTTTTTGTTTTTTTTTTTTTAATAAAAATATACATTTTTGTTACGTTGTATATTCACAAAAGTTTACACGTACTTCAAGTAAAGTGAACTGAATTTTTATAATTATGCCTTGATAAGTTCAACAAGTATTATGACAATTTTTTTTGGAGAATTTTTGAAACTAAAAAAAATTTTAGTTTAATTTATGATACAAGCACTTTCACTTCACAAATTATTATTATGGTTATAACAAACAGTTCGTTGTAAAATTAACGTATTATTATGCAGTCGGCTGAAGTAGTATTGTCGCGGTGCTAAAAATTTTAAGAATTGATCAAAAGCTACAAACAGAAAAACTTAAAAATTTTAAGATTTGTTAAAATGGTCATGATTTAATACAATTAATGTTTATTATACTAAAATACTGTAACAGTACTTAATGACGATTCAAAGCTTCAAATTGCACGGTAGTTTTTACAGATGAATATTTTATAGTTTTTCTTAGTTAATGCTTTTTTTTTGGAAAACTGTATAGTGATGCCTTATGATATTCGTTTAATCTCTGATGTAATAAAGCATACTAGTAGCACATTTTTTACCTACTAGACATGCATACTCTCGTATCAGGCTATCAACTGCGCTGTTGGGGAAACGATTTTTCCACACTCTGTAATGCATGGCTTTCCTTTCATAGAGTACCAATACCTGTTACCCATATGATTTTTTAAAATAAAAAATTATTTTAAAAATATGTACTTACACATAAAAATATATACATATAGATACATAGATCAGATAAGTGTCTGTAATTTATCTATGTCAAGCTAACTTTGTAGTGTTCAACATGAAATTTATTATATTTCCCAAAAAATTTGAAACTAATACGAAAAATTGTTTGCTGAAACTTATCGTTAGCAAAGAACGAAAAAAAATCTTTACCTGGTTTATGTTTACATTTCCATCTTCATCCTGTGCGTTTGAATCATCATTTAATCTGCTATATTTGGATACATCTAACTTTTTCAAACAATCATTAATATCACACCAAACATAAGATTCCGGACAGAGGAGTTTTGATGGTCGCATTTTTGCCTTGTAACACATTTTTGGGCACGTATGAATGTAATACCCCATGTAATAAAACTTTAAACTTGGGGCATATTTGTTTAATTGTCGCGTTAATACGACTTCTCTAAGAGAGCTGTAACAAAGCGATAACAAAATCATTATAATAAAACAATTAGGTCAATGTAAAAAAGTAAAAACATTCACCTGATTGTCCCCAATGATAGAAATGAGTAAGCTGGATCATAAAATAAATAGACACTAGATATACAATATGGCAATATATCAATCACAGCTACTGCTATCAATTGACCATTAAGCCAATATTGTTCGTGAAATGCCCCATATCCTTGAGGTGGACCATCATCTGGCGTCCACTCCTGTATTCACACGAAATGAAATTTTATTTTTGCTCCCAACACTCTTTGTCGTAAGTAATTTGACTGAAGAAAGTGTACCTGCAGTGGGTTTTGGACAAGAAATTCAAAAAAAGCTAATTTATTACAATCTTCCAATGTGTCTTTATGGATCGCCATTTGGTATTTCTTAAAAAGATCAGCTTCATCATCGAGTAAATCGAGAAATTCATCAGACATGACTCTTAACGACTTTATCTGATAAATAAGAATCGTATTAAAATGAAAATTTTTCATCAAAATCATTTAAACCAAGGCAGGTCCACTTTGCTCCAATTTTTTTTTTTTTTTTTTTTTTTTTCCCAGAGTACTCAAAAATAAACTGCAATATTTTTACTGAAAAAACCGTTGTGATTACCCTTAAAGAAGATCTGACTAAAAATCTTGAATATCGCTCTTCTGTGAGTTCTTGCAACGAATTATGGTGAATTGCCATTTGATATTTTTTATACAATTCAAAAGACTCTTTGGCAGTTTTTTCGTATGAGGATTCAATTGGAGACGTCCTAACAAGTTTTAGCTTTGACAAACATTACAAAAATTGTAGATTTACAAAGTCGGAGTAAAGAGGACTGCCAGATAATAAATTTATAAATCAATGGCTTATAATTACCTCTAATTTGTTAGAGCAACCATTTATTTCATTAAAATAATCCTCCAATGTTTTACCAGCTTTTTGTAGCTTCTTTTTCCTTACAATTTCATCAATTTCATGAGGTGATTTTCCTTGAGCTGCAAGTTTACTTCTTGCTCTCTCTATACGTATAAGTTTAGCTTTCTTTTGTACATTCATACTTGAGTCACAAAATTTACTAGACCTTGGCTTTGATGCATCAATTGACTGACTTGATAAGTTGGATACTTGAGCATTTTTGTTTGTTTGCTTACTTATACTTGTACTTAGTTCAATACAATTTACACTAGGACTTAGACTACTGACAAGCTCTTCTGATATTGAAGAAACTTGCATTTTGGAAGCATCCATTTCTTTTGTCTCAGAAAATTGAGGAACATCTGCAATCTCCATGCTTTTGACTACAATATAAACAGTAACTTCAATTTCTTACGAAATTTTATTTCTTAACTGTGCTTTTTTACCTGTGTCTTTTTCCACAGGACTAGTCTTTTCGTCATTTTGCAATTCATTCTTTAAAAACTTAATCAAGCGCTTCAAAGTTCTTTTCTGAGATTTGGATATCTTAAAATTTAGAGCTTCACATCTAAAATAAAGAAGTTAATAATTTGTTTGCCATCATCACAAATGATCAATTTCAGCAGTTAACAAACTTACTTTATTGTGTAGTGGGGACAGCAAGTTACATCCATGATGGGTTTGTAACAGTAAGTGCCACTTCTTCTCCATCCTCTGTCAATCAAGTTTTGATAATCTTGCACAGTCAAGGAGTGTGCGCTCATTCCTAAAAAAAAATAACGCAAAAATAATGACAACTTAATTTTAAGGTAATTCAAATCAGAATGACTAAGTCAAGAAATGTAATATGATTTCACTGATTAAAATGCCATTTAAATATGGGGCAGAACTAACGTTTTTCACGGAACAGATGTTTGTAAGTAAGACAAGAGCTTCATCAACGTTTTTTGAGCTATATTTCCGAGGCAATTTATATAGAAGGTGGTTAGACGTTAGGTTAATAAGCAAATGAGAAAACAGACCATGGCTGTAGCTTGTATTGGGATTGCAACAGTAGCCGCATCTGTTCTTTTCCTGCCTGGAACAATACTCGATGACGCTGAACTGCTGAGTCTTGGACATCGTGACTAAACCTAAAAAAACACTTTGGGAAACCAAGAGGAAAAACAGCACTTTTGTGTTTCTATTACAGCACAGTAATCATCAACTTTGGCTTTTCTCTCTGATATTCATGTTAATGGCGAAAAAAAAAAGTTTAATTAACAACGTAACACAAGTTTGTCAATATTATTTATTTGTTCACGGCCACACACACGATATATATTTTTTTCTATCGTGCATCGGCGGTGTATCGTAATCACTCACGGTAAATAGGAATCTGTTTGCCCAATGCACTGTAGGTAAGTATGGCGGCTTAGTAGTTAACCATCGGTATAGTAGATAGCTGACAACAGCGATAAAAAGCAATGTAGATGGCGCCGCTATGCGTGACGGAACTGACGGAGTGGTTTGTTTAAACAATTTTGTTTATTTTAATGCTGTAAGCAACAGAACATGTTAAAATTTGTACTGGACGTATCTGTTTGGGTAAAACGTTGCTCATTCACCATTATTTGTTTGAATTCAGAGTTATACAGATCTCGGTTGATGGGAGGATGGAGCGCACCCACTTGACGAATCAAAATTGTGTTCAAGAAAGCGCTAACTCGGAGGCATTTTTTTCCCCTCAAATTTATTTGTTTATTCTGTTAAAAAAATAAAAATTGAAAAGGCACAAGCTTTTAATGATCAACACATAAATCGTAGGGATAAACGAACGACTCGATCCGAACGAGCAGTTTATTCGCGGCAAAAAGTGACAAAAACATATTATTCATTGTTCAAACCGAATTAATTGTTAATACTTACAAATACAATGAGACTCGAAAAAATATATTTTCCGTATTCTTCCACCGTCTTTCTCTTGCCTTCCCTCAGTGCTCATTGATTATTTTAGAGTAATATAATTGATGTATATGATAAAAATAAATGAATTAACAAAACAAAGCATACTCGATGATGCTGTATATTTTACACGCTCGATCATAATTTAAGTATATCTTAAGACAAGTGCAATTAAGAATGCCAACAACCAGCGTTGTCTTATTTATAGTCTTCCACGTATATTATATCAAGCACGTAATTTATTACCATATATTATTACCACTGTATAGACACACACACACACACACACACACACACACACACACACACACACACACACACACACACACATATATATATATGTCTAAATAAGGTTAATGTACCTTCATGCCTGCTATGCCATCATGCTTGCCCAGTGCATTGGCGATGAGGCTGCAACATAGTAGGGTGCTTGTTTTGTGATTTCATTTTAAAATCACATGGTTCGTTTCACGTCGTGAAAAGATCAGCGAGCGTGATTCAGTAGGGGTAAACTTGCCCTTCAAACCGTGGAGCGGCACGTCGTGATATACAGCGAGCATGCGCTAAGTCACATTATGCCCCCTTTAAATCATCTGATCCGAAGCACTGTGAAGGTAAATCTGCACATGTGTTGCGGTTTCTGACCCGGAGCGATTACGAGTATTCCTATCTAACTATACCTGTCTTTTCCGGCTCCTGTCTTCCTCTGACGATGCTGATGAGTACTCTGGTTTGGACAGCTCGTCCTCACTGATGTCGTCATCGCTCGGACGATCCTCCTCCGACTCTGCATCCGGGGGAACCTCACCAGCAGTATCAGTGCCTGATGCATCCGCCTCTTCCTCCAGACGCCGTCTCTTAGGTTGGCGATGCATGTTGGATTTCTAAGGGGTTTGAAGTTCAAGGTCTAATACACGTGTTGAATCTGTAGCACGAAAAAAAGGAATGACGTATGCCACAAGCGACCCATCAGTGCAGGGCACTGGGGCCTCTAGTGGAAAAATTAAGTACTNTTTTTTTTTTTTTTTTTTTTTTTTTTTTTTTTTTTTTTTTTTTTTTATTATTAGCGGTCCTTCCCCTTTTTATGTATTCGACACCACGAGCTGCAAAAAGAAAAAAAAAAAAACAACACAAAATGGAAAAAGCAATTGGTTTCTTTTTTGTTTTTGTTTTTTGTTTTATTTTGGAAGTTTTGACTTTTTGACGCATCTGTTTGAATAAACAGCGGCATGCGAGCTCAAAAAAAATATTAATTGACTTCACCTGTATAAACGCGGCGCAACTAAAATTATTCTTCGATCGGTACCTGATCAGCAAATCAATTGCAATGATTTATTTTTTGTTTCAAGTGGATCGAAACTTTTATTTTTTTTTCAACACCTTACATTTGACATTGAATGCTGGATGACATAAAACTCGAATTTTCTTACCAAGAGCAAAAACATCTATTTCTCACGATTTTCCTGAAATTCCAGATCGGGAAAATTATTTTGCAAGCAACATGTTATTAAACGTTTCCTTGTAAATTAAAATTAAATGTAGGCTTAATTATATATACGCGCACCATATACACGTATATGTACACCTTCGCAGCACTTTTATAACTTTTTACGCACACCAAGATTGACATGAATTCCATTATCTCATAAAAGATCGTAAAAACGATTAAAGCTCATTTGATTATTTTTTTTTTTTTTGGATGCGACTCAAAATAAAAAAAGGAAAAAAAAAACCACAGGAATGCATTGAGGGTTTAGTTCAAGTATACGCGTATCGGCATTTTCTTCAAGTTCCACTTTTCCATTGATACCCGAGCAAGTAAGCATAATAAAGGAACACGCCCGAGCAGGTGCTTAAATATAAAATGAACGAGAGCTTGAGCCGCAGTGCGGCTCCGGATTTTACTCTCACCGGATGCACTCACCCATCCACACGCACCAACACACTTCGTGATCGAATCAAAGTGCCATCTTTTTTTTTTTTTTTTTTTCAAATCAATCTGCCCACTACCCAGTTAATTTCGTCATGATCAATACGATAGCGTTCCGCAAGTGCGTGTTGTGCGTCGCGCTACTGTTAACCATTGGATTCATCGGACGCACGAGTAGCTGCACATCCCATGGGTGCTTCACATTGGAGCTTGTTCAAGTTGTAAGTAGTTGTGTGTATACTGTTTATCCGGATGTCTCTGACGGATATTTAAATTACTTTTTTTTTTTTTTTTTTTTCACATTTATATGAGATGGAAAATGAAATTTTCGGCTTTTCGAGAGATACGAGGCGTTATACTTTTCAAAGAGTTTCGTTTGATTGGCGGGTGTAAGAATACGCCAACTCGAAACATTATTTTCTCCTTCGCGGGGTAAAATTAATTTTTTTTTTTTGTTTTTGTTTTTTTTCATCACATCCAGAGCAAAACGATGTTTCGATAAACATTTGCGCTTGAAAAAATATTTTCCATCTCAAATAAAAGCAAAAAAAAAAAAATGATGAGGCTAAAGGGAAAAAAAAAAAAAAAAAAATAGAAATTTGTTGATTCGATGAAATGTTTGTTGGGGCCCAAGGTGTTCAGGCACGGCGAGCGAACCCCTCAGGCGGACGAGATCAAGCTGATACCGAACGCCACTGGCGTCATGGCCGAGCCATGGGGATTTTCTCAACTGACCAACGTACGTATATATTATGTGCATCATCTGTAACAACGCGAATTGATACACATGTTTTTTCATTACTCCGCGCCAATAAGCACTTGAGTCAACTAAAAGCGCCGATAGAAAAACACGCGGCGCAACAACACCGCAATCGGCGGTAAATGATAAATCGTGCTCTCTTTCTTCGCTCGTGCCTTTTATTTATTTACTTTGCGAAGCCGTCACCCTTGCAACAATAAATTTTACGCTCCAACGGTTGCAACGATGAAACGTGTATAGGTGAAAAATAACGAAGCAATTGTGGAGCCTCCTTTTTTTTCTCTCTCTCCTGATTACCCTTGATTTTTCTCCCTTACTTTGTTTTTCAGAACGGAAAGCGTCAGGAGTACAACATCGGCGTGCAGCTGAGAAAATTGTACGGTGAATTTTTGGGCGAGCAGTACAGGCCGGAGGAGGTGTTGGCGACCAGCTCGGATTACGACCGCACCAAGGACTCCCTGCAGCTCGTGCTCGCCTCGCTCTACCCCCCCACGAACGAGCTCGCCTGGAACGAGGACCTCAACTGGTCACCCATACCCATACACTTTTTGCCCCGTAACCTCGATCTGCTGTTTTTCACGTACTCGTGCATCAGGTCCGGTGCAACAAAAAAGTCAACCGATTGATGTTTGGGGAAAAAAAAAAAAAAAAAAAAAAAAAACTCAACCATTTCTGATCTGTTTGCAGGTTCAGCGACATGTGGAACGAGCTCGTACGAACCAAGGAGATCCAGGCGTACATGGATCAAAACGCCGATCTGATCGAGCACATGAAACAGTACTTTCCCACCAACGATCTCGGGCTCGAGCAATTCTTCTACCTCCACAACATCATCGTCATACAGGCAAGTGACATGCACACACGTGTTGTTTTTATAATTGAATAGCAATGAGAAAGTGCGGCGAGAGACTTGACGATGGTCGAGGCGTTGTAGAAGTCGCTGAGGCAGCGCGAGCCCGATTGGTACTCGCGGTCGGTGCACGAAAAGATCCGGCTCATGTCCAAGTTGTACCTGGACTCGCTGTCCTGGACCCCGGAGCTGGCGAGGATGAACGGCGGGCCCCTCGTGCGACGCATCATCGAGAACATGGCCGCTAAGGACAAGGCCGGCGCGAACCCGCGCAAGTTGTACCTCTACAGCGGACACGAGTTTACGGTTTACGCGGTAGCCAAGGCCCACAATTTGACCCTTAAGGTGTCACCGGCCTACGGCTCGGCTTTCATCGTTGAGAAGCTGAGGGACCACAAGGGCAGTGCTCACGTCAAGGTTCGACTTTTACTTTCGTCTTACGTTTAATGTATCCTTCTTTCCTCGATTGTTCATCACTTGTTTTGTTATATTGTTCAGATAAATTATTGGAACGGAACGAACCAAGAGCTCACGGAACTGAAGTTGCACGGCTGCAGCAGCGTTTGCCCCCTCGAGAAGTACCTGAAGATTGTCAGTCCTTTCGTCGCGACGGACGATGACTTGCGCTGTTTGATCAAGAATTTGACAATCAGTGATTTGGAGAAGATACTCAATGACCCGAAAATCGGTATATCGATCTGAAACGTTGGGCCGTATTTTGCGCGCGGTTTGTTTTTAGAGGACAATCGACGGTTACCAGCGTGCGATTGAAAAAACGTGTCTGATAATGGTTTGAGATTTTCGCTCGGACGTTGCGAATCGCCGATGCAAATTGAGAGGTATGCGTTACTTTTATGATGCAAGGGGCCATTCCCTATATCAATATTACTTGTTGAGTGCCGTCGACCGATTGCATTCTTTGTACATACAACCTGGATATACTTACACAAAGTGTTACTATTTATAATTTATTACTGTGTGCGAGAATTTTTGGATGTTTAAATAAACTTTTTTTTTTTTTTTTTTTTTTTTTTTTTTTATAAGCGTGACTGGAAAAATATTTAATTTCACAAATGTTCCATTTTGCGCAACTAGCGCATCGTTAGTCGAGTGGAGGACATAATATTAGCCGATGTATAGTAATCCACTCAATCATAAGTAGCTTAAAATAATTTTTTGTAATTATGGAAACAGCATGGAAAATATAGGCAACACTTATTGGATGCAGGGCATCAATTATATTTACTTGGCTACTCGATATTCCTATGTCATAAGTGTTGAAAAGCTCTTTGGGATGAACGATACATTTTAAAACATGTAGTTGGTCTAAAACAAGTACAATATCGACGAGGAAATTCCCACGGTGGAAGACAAAAAGTTTAAAAATTTTGGAAAAAGCGGTGACGCTAGTAGGTGGTTTAAATTATATATAAATTAATGTATTATTGGGTATACGAGCCATTCCGCCCAAAATCATACGTAACATGAATTTGGAAAGAATTATAATTAAGACTTAATATTTTATTGAAAATATTTTTAGTACGAATAAAAAATAATGATAAAAATCATTGCTAATCACTTCACCACAAGCTGCCCAAATCTGACAATTTACTTAGCTTCTACGGAAATAATATACTCAAGAAGTGTGCAAGTGCGTGCATTCATGTTGCTTCTTCGAGAGGTAATTGGTATTTTCATGAGTAACCGCAGATAATAAGCGCAAAAATCAGATCAGCCATTAGTTGTTCTTGAAAACACTATTACTCATAGGAAATTTTACGATTTACCTTGTTTTAAAGAGGTAGTCAATAAGTTTCCTGGTTTTTCTACTGCATCGGCTGTTACGTTGGGCTGATCTGTTATAAAAAAAATAAAACATAGCAATTTGGAAAGTAACTTATTTTTTTAATTATTTTAATTTTAAAATGATGATTGGGAATCAAAATTTGAGATTTGAAAGGACAGCTGATTTGAATGTAACTTATATATGGTACATGGTTCCTCGTATCGTAACTTAAAATAAGCCAAAATTTTAGATACACAAAAAATTTATAGCATAATACAAGCGAAATATAAATTAAAATTAAATTGGAGTGATAAAACAAGATTTAATATAAATAGAAAGTTATGAGTATGTAGACGAATTAGACACTTGTATTTTAATTATTTAAATACAGTTGTAGCCCGAACTTTTAAGAGTTTATTGGAAATAAAAGCAAAATAAAATTCTAGCAATAATCCAGTAATGATAAAATTTTTAAAAATTTTAACTTTGTAGTCTCAGCGACTGATGCAAAACAAGAAAATTAAATTTTTATAACCACGAAAGAATAGAAATGAGGAAAATCAAAATATTTTCCAATCAAAATCTGGCATTGAAATAACACTCTTAGATAATAAAAAAATCTTTTTTAAAACAGATATTTTGCATGAGATGTAAATTTACCGCTGGGAATAAATCTGCAAAAAGATTATCTTTTTACTTTATGTACCTTACATAACTTGCACGTGCATTCGTGCTCGCGAGTTAACTCATTGCTCAAGATAAGTGTAGTAGGTTACACACATGCGAAACAATTATCTATGATCAAAAGTATGGCAACCGATGAAAAAAAAAAAAAAAAAAAACGTGGTCAGTAGAGTCATGATTTTTTATTTAATAAAAAACAATATGCAGTATACGCGTTTAAACGCAGTGTTTCGATGTTTCGAAACGTGAAATTAATGAGGCATAATGGTGGGAAGCTGCAACTCGTTATCTCCTACTTGTTGCTTAATAAAAAGTGTTTGCTTGAATGAATACTTAACAATGAGAAATCGACGATAGCGCTCTGCAGACGTGTCTTGTGTGTACCTGGCGTCTGGCTTATCGATATTTGTAAAAATATATTTTACGTTTACGAAAAATCGTCAGTCCGATCAACGTAAGAGTTATGAGATATTTTTATTGCAGACGAATTTAAACTGTCTATTTGCGTTTAAGTGAGGTGTAGTGAACAGTGTTTTATTAAAAAAAAAAAAAATAAATAAAAATAAAAGAAATTACATACTCGAGGAAAGCGAGGGTATTGCATATATTTGCCTCGTGTACATAATAATTTTTATTACGTTTTACATAATTTTCGTCACACGCATAGTACAAATTATTACATAACATGAACAAAAATTATCAAAATTCAAGGGTAATATCACTTAAATCGAATGCATAATGTAATTTTGATTGCAACATTTTTGTCAGCTCGTGTAAAAATTGCCATCAGTCGACGTAGATGCAATCTGATAAAAATAAAATAGGGAATTGCGTGTGGATCATTGAATTTTATGTATTTGATGTACGTGCAAAACATATAAAGCCATTAAAATTGCGAACTTACTTTCCAAGGAATGAGGAAAGATCAGCTGAAAATTTATCTTATCTAGTTATTGTACTTTCATAATTCATCGGCGACAGTAAGTGGGGCAGTACGAATTTTTCCTCATAAAAAATCGTCACACGTGTATTTTATTTTATTTTATTTTATTTATTTTTTTTTTTCATGTTCAGTCCAATCTATACTGCTATTCTTTTTAACAAAAAATATGTATGTATCTACCCTCATGTACCCACGCTATCGTCGGTCCGACCTTTATTTCTCCATTGCACGAAAAAAAAACGAAAAGGTTAACTGGTGCAATTGTCAGT